GAGTTCTTGGAAATATGCAATTACCTAAAACATTTTCTTCGATTTCAGAAATTGTTTGAATAATTCTGATTGCAACAAAATTCCAAAATGACAGTTCCTATAGAATTGACAGGCCGGGCAGCACCGGACTCAGACGACTGAAGGTGTGTTTTAAAAACTCTGTAGCCATGGTATGTGTTTAAGAAATTATGTTGCCATGTTAACCTGTTTAATTTTTTGAGTAAATCACGGATCATCAATCCGTGATTAATCGATCATTTAGCGTGATACATATCCGTACGCTAAACCATTTTGGTTATGTGAGTAGAAAAAAAAACAAGTCCTATTTAGAACAGATGGAATCTAATATAGTGCCCATTGGAAAGAATAAAGTTGATGATGGTGGTCGGGAGACGAAACGTCAGTTAGCAAATATGAAAGCACCATCATGAAGTAGAAAAAAAGTGGCAATCCGAAAGTGCAATTTATTTTGAAATCCTGCAATAGATAGAGCCAGAAAAAAATGAAATCAATTTTCCAAAATTTCGTTTTTTTTCCGGATATCTCCGGACAAACTTGGAATTTCGAAACTTTCTGAACAGCATCTTATTGTTAGGTGAGTGCCACAATTTAGCCATCTTCGTACCTCTTATACGGTGATCGAAAAACCCGGTATATTAGAATGTCATATTTGAAATTTTGAAATTAATATCTCGCAATAACTTCGACGTTTTTTGAAATCATTATTATAGCATAGACGCCTACTCTGCTAATACATTGATATTTCCTATTATGAATTGAATGAGAAAAATGGAGCTGATTTCTAAATTACGAATATCTAGAAATACTGTCAAGTTTCGGGATTGACAACCAGTATAACTTATTTTTGTTAAGATTACGTGTCTTCCATATTCCTCAGAGCGCTTACTTGAAGAGCAAAAAAGTGAAGTGTGCATTTATGCCACAAAGGTTGTTTAGGTTACTGTTCTCATGGTTTCTTCTACCCAACTCAAACTGAGGGAAAAAATTTGTAGCCGTTACTAAAAAATTATAGTAATTACAGAAAAATTTTTTAGTACGATAGGGGACAGCAAGCATTAGTTGTTGCCATAACTAATTCTGTTTTTCTGGAAACGCCTATTTGCCTCAAATGAAAAGTTTAGTTAAGTCATCTACGACGTTGTTGTGGTAACTAATAAGCCTTTTTAAGGAATAATACCAAGTTTTATTTTCCACAATCAAGATACATAGTTATGACAATTAGATTGTTAGTACTGTTTCAATATTTTTTTGTTATCACAACAAATTAACCCAGTTGGGGCAATTACTCATTTCTTCTGACGTTAATAGTTAGTGTGTTGTTCCAAATTAAATATTTAATTGTGACTGAAATGGAATCTAGTTACTATTAAAAGTGATTTAGTAACGTTTGAAATATAATTTAGTTATTCTGGCAACTTAATAGTTTTATATCAATTGAAATCAAGGCCCCATTCTGATAAGAACAGTTTGTATGCCATTTTCCTTCCAATTTCCAATGGAATCGTGAACAGGAATACACCACACACCGTAAGTGCCACAGGCCACAGCTCAGCAAAAAGAGAGGGAATTATAAATATACACCGTGTACACGTGACGTCGGTTGGACGTTCCTCACCGTCGCCCGTCTTGAACTGAACTGAATTGTGAATAGGTACCTAAACATGATAACTAGTGACGCACAGATAACGATGGTAAACTGCGAATTATTATTTTGCCAACCAAATGCCAAATGGCTCAGCGCGAAGTGCAAAAAAACACAAAACAGTGATTTGAACACACAGAGCAGTGAACCAGCAAGAACACGACGCTCCCGGCTACACTAGACAATTATTTTATTTATTTTGTCTAAGCTCGACGACCGTGCGATCTACCCACTATTAAGATACCAGTTCAAATGATGAAACAGAAAGACAAACAGATGCAAGATGCAATTTTTGCAGGTGGGTCCCGAAGAGACGCGAGGCGGTCCCGAACGACGCAGTACAACTAAAATTATTAGTTATGGCTAAACAATTTCTGCTATGAATAATAATAAACCTTTTACGATAAATGTGTCATCAGTTGTGGCAAATAGTCAGCTGTTGTTAGTAACCCCAGAATGAGGTTTTTTAACCCCAATATAAAATTTTAATTGACTGAATAGACAACACTGTGATAATTCTGTCACAAATAGTACTTTTATTGATGACAAATAATTGGCGAAAAATAGAAAAGTCATTTGTAGGAAATAAGGATACGTTGTCATTGTTAATAAAATTCCAAATATTTTTAATTATCGGTACTAAAAAAATACCAACTAGACGTTTTAATTAACCAGTTTTTCTCAGTGATAAATAAGAAGCAGAACACAGATTTTTTTGACAAGAAGAAATTACAACAAGTCGGTCATTCCGAGTCACTGTAAAATAGCCTGCATATTATTATTGCCGGAAATATGAATTGCAGCAATCAATTGCATGCAATGGGAAATTAGAAACTGTAAAGCGGTTCTATATAAAGCTAATGGAAATGAAACAAAAAGCAAAATGAATATAACATTCTTAAGAAGTACCTATAGTTTGAAAAAACAAAACAAATACTAATATACCCCCCACCCCCTAGTTATTTGCCATTCAGTGGCATAATGTTGGCCTTTTCCAATGGTGGATCACAAAAGTTACCCATTAGCATACTGTCGGCCGTACTGAATGCCAATATTGGCCAAGCAGTATTTCCATTTATTACTAATGCATTGTTGGCCCATTGATACCTGATTACTAGATAAATTAGTGAAGTATTTTTTTTTATTCGGAAGTGCTCGCAGAAGGTTGGACCTATAATCCCGTAGTGGAACTGCGAGCACTAAGGAGGGACAAATATCGATGGATCCTCCTCTTGAAGGTAAATAGGTTGTAGTTCGCTGGAAATACATCTGTGGGTAAATAATTCCACAGTGAAGATGTCCTACAAAAGAAGGAATTCATGAAATATGTTGTTCTAGGTGTTTCAATTTTGACTGCATATTGGTGTGAGACTTGAGCCAGCCGCGTTTGGCGAACAAAGGTCATTCCAGGGGGGACAGCTGATGACAATTCAACAGAGAATCGTCTATGATAGTAGCGATAGAAGAGTGATAGGTCTGCAACGTCTCTCCGATGCTGTGAAGTTTGCAGTGATCTTGTCAGAGTTGGGTCATTGATGCGCCTGATGGCTCTTCTTTGAACCGACTCCAGCAACCTCAGGGAGTGTTTTGGAGCTGATCCCCAGACGTGCGAACAGTACTCAAGGGATGGTCGAATCTGGTGTGAAGCGTGAAGCTATGTTATATTGATTGATATTGGAATTTCTGGAATATATGTGGAGAATGGGCCAATCTCGAAAACTCCTTTCCGTTGGATATCTGTCATGAATTAGCGATTAATTAGTTATGAATTTCTAGTTCCCTACCTATAGGTACTGTATATCACTTTTAGACTGCTGCAACAATATTGGGGGAAAGCCTTGGTGTCAGCAAAGAAAACATTATCACGATAACTTTTTTATAGATCGTCCAAGTCTGGTTGTTTTCAAAGACGAATTCCAGTTTATACTACTTGATTCGTTATTTCGAATTGATTTATTCAATGATGTGATTACAACTGCATAATATATCCATATTCACTTGCAAAAGGACGAAAAAAACGAAACGATTTTATTGGTGACGCTATCAATATGATATTGAAGTACACATACAAGGTGTTTCCGAAATTGGGGCGATGAATAAAATAGGGTGTTCTGTGAGATATAATGACACGATATATCACAATGAGGAAAAATTGTCCTGAAAATTTTTTCAAAAAATGTGCGCTCTCACCAACCTACATCTTTCAACTATTATTGAACGTTCGGTGTCATTGCAAAAGTCATTGATCAATGATTTACAAGAGTTTCAGGCAAACTTTGAAGCTCAATATCTTCAAAAGTATTCGTTTTTTGACATAATAGTTATTTTTGTATCTAGAGCGCAAAATGCTACTTTGGTGATCGAGATCTGATTTTTTTAACGAGGCGTAGCCGAGTTACACAAAAATAGTCGAGATAAATGTGAATTTTCCTATATCAGAAATGGTTCTGCAAGGCTATATGTAGAGTCACTGAATGGTATTAGTAGATAAACTGATACCTTCCAGTGAAATACATATCAAGAGAGATATCAACTAATCAACTCGATATTTCTGGAAAGTAGACGGAGTGAGAAGGTTCCGCAAAGTTATATCAAACAAGAAATCCTGATCGACAACATCATCCCTCGGATAAGTATCTATACAGGTCGATATTTCTTCCGCTTCCAATATTCGAATAGTTCTTTGATCATATCTCCATATCTTCGTCGTCGTTTGAAAAAAATGTCATCAAACCCGGTATTGTTGAATTTGTAATAATGACCTCGACTTGAATATGGAATGATTTATTGGGTATAAATATACAGGGTGACCAAATTGCAAGTCATTCGATCCCGTTTAATTCTTTACAGAGGGAGACATTTCAGCTTGGACACGGTGTATATCAAGCAGCAGAAATTCATTTTCTCCCATATGTGTAATATGTCATCCGCTACGCGTCATGTATCAAACCTCACATGCGAGAGGAAATGAATACCTTCCCAGTCAACACAAACATCCCTGGGATGTCACATTCATGCCTCGCTAGGTAACAATGCGAATTAGAACAAAACATCATTGGTATTGCCAGGGGACTCATTCTTTTACAAAACATTCGCCATATTCGTCAATTTTGTTGTTGAATGAGGAGTCGCTGAATAAGTACTGTGAGTTTCATTAATGTGAATCATAATATGACCAAAAGGGTCCGGAAAAGCAGTTATTGTGATTTCACCGGGACTCTCATTTCGAGTCACGCATGGGATGTGTGGCATGAATGTGATACCCTCTTATATCTCTGGGATCAATCTGTGTTAACTAGGTTTGCTCCCTTGATATACAAATTTGTATTATTTGCAGGATGAAATTGCCACTAATGGAGTAAACTGTACCATCGATGCAGCATTTAAAAAAGTCAGAAGAACTTCTGCAGCCTTCTTCATATGGAAAATTGAGGTATGTTCTACGTTCCATGAAAAAAAAAATGCGTTTTCATAAGCTTTCGCCTAGCACAATAGTGTAGTGTAGGTTTTAGCCTCGGTTTAAGCGAATACTCCCAACATCAAATGTAGCACTTCATCGCCCGAATTTGCGAGCGTAAAATAGCACTTTAGCTATTTATTTCAATCTCTTGCGTATATTTACCGATATCTCTCCCATCGTGTACATTTTAAGTCTAGCTTTCAAGGGATCCAGAAGGGGTTTGAAGAGGGGGGCATAGAAAATCACGGCTCATTGATAAAAGCAATAAGAAAGATGATTTTTCATTGGTAATCCTTATGAGGTGTTGGGCAGTATATACAGGGTGTTTCATAATTGAATGCTGATCCTAAAGGGCGATGATCCTTGGATGAATATCAACATATGTCCTGAACCTCTTAGTTTTTGAGCTACAGGGTGTTGAAATCAGAAGCGTACAGCGTTTATTTAAACTGAACATTCAATATCAGGTCTACGAGGACATCACTGGTAAGAGTAAAAGTTTGATTTTCGTCCCAAAACAAAATGTGTTTCCACTCATAGTGGGTGTCTACTGAATTACCAAAAACAATATCCAAGAACAGAAGGAACAAAATTCTTTGGTTTTTATTTTTTCACGCGAAAACGGTACGTTGTATGAAAGAAAGTCTAGGAACCAAATTTGCTCCAAAATGAATAAGAATGGAAAAAAAATCTGGTTCTCAGAGAAATCAGTGGCGTACTATTTTTTCCTTCAAAAATTGTCAGTTCAAACCCCGTACGGACGCCACTGGTGAGAATTTTTAAATATCTTTCACGTAAAAAAATGCTCCTCAATAATGAGAAGGTGTATACAAAATATCATAACAATATCTGAGAGTGACGCCACACTCACTCACTCTTTGACATCATTGGAACACCGTAGAAAGGTCGGCGACCTTTCACTTTTCTATCGATACTTCCACGGGAAATGTTCTTCGGAAATCTCTGCAATCATCCCTTCACTAGCAATACCAATCAGACGAACTAGACAAGCCCAGTCAGCACATCCTTTCGTTGTCAACCTCGAAAGATGTCGAACATCACTTTATCAAGACTCCTTCATCCATAGAACGGCTAGGCTCTGGAATTCTTTGCCTGTGGAAGTATTCCCAACAACATATAATCTCCAAAAATTCAAAAAAAATTCCAATACCTACCTCCTGTCTTTATCCTCCCTAGGAACGCACGATGTTCTTTGAACATTATAGGGATTCCCTTTCGTGCGCTCCAATCGATAAAAAAAAAATGAAAAACTAATTTTTTTCTTGAAATTTCATCACCCTGTAGCTCAATAACTAAGAGGTTTAGGATATATGTTGATATGAACTTTTCTCTTTGAAATCATCCAAGAATTATCGCCCTTAAGGATCAGCATTCAATTATGAAACACCCTGTATACACCAACATTTTTACATATTCATTAGGTTCGCATGAGGGAAGCGAGGGGCATGGCCTCTATGCCCCCCCTGGATCCGACCCTGAATGGATTTTTATGAACTCATGGAAAAGGGCAAACGAGATTTTGATTTTTCCAGCAAATATTCAAGAATTCTTACTTTTCACATTATTTCCGTTGCACCAGTTCACGAATCAATTTGAAACTTTGTCGTATTGTACATTATATACAGGGTGTTGCGAAATTCGACCGACAACGCTTGACAGGTGACAGCCCTCGTGATTTCATAATCACTGAGATAGGGATATACGGTCTCCAAGTGTTCAGTTATCGAGATACAGGGCGTTAAAGTTAAGAAATAAAAATAGTTATTGTTTCGCAATATCTGAAGAAAAATTGAATATAATGCATTCAACTTCGATATATGGTTTCATCTTTGAATGGGTCATTTTTTGACCAGGAAGCCATTCCAGACATTTTATCCAGTGGTGCCCTACAGGGGGTTGTGCCAACTTTTCCTCCTATATTTTCTACGCCACTGATTAAATTCGATTATCTCCAATTTTTTTTTATCGAATTCATTGTTCAATTTTGTTAATAAAAACTAACATCTTGAAAACTCCATCATTTTGTGTTCGTCCAATGTCATTTGTCATTTCATTTCATTTTATTCATTCAAAATATGGTCAAATTACATGAGATATGGACAAGTCACTAAAAACTAATAACTACTACTACTAAATACTAGGTATAAGGACAACAATAATTGTATACAAGATATACAGGGTGTCCCTAGACCAGTGGGACAGTTAAATATCTTCTGCACCAATAGGAATTTTCAAAATATTATAATTCCACATCATATCGCATCATGAGTGCTATCTTCAGGAATGACTATATTTTATACGAGGGGCGCAAGGAAGGCTCACAAAATCGAACATCAATTTTTTCAAATGGAACACCCTGTATTTCATTGCATTTTCATATCCTCCTTGAAGAGCTGAATTCAACGACCTAGCACACTTGGGGTCTAGCGGGAATGATTTCCGAGATATAGGGTGTGGAAAATCGAGATTTTTCATTTTTGGGAATTTTTTGTGTCAAAACTATTCGGGAATCAAAAGTTAAGATATGGTCATGTGAGCCGTTTCGACCAATAATGAATAGTTTTGACACAAAAAATTCCCAAAAATGAAAAATCTCGATTTTCCACACCCTATATCTCGGAAATCATTCCCGCTAGAGCCCAAGTGTGCTAGGTCATTGAATTCAGCTCTTCAAGGAGATTATGAAAATGCAATAAAATACAGGGTGTTCCATTTGAAAAAATTGATGTTTGATTTTGTGAGCCTTTCTTGTGCCCCTCGTAGAAAATATAGTCATTCCTGAAGTTAGCACTCATAATGCGATATGATGTGGAATTATGATATTTCGAAAATTCCTATTGGTTCAGGAGATATTCAACTGTCCCACTGGTCTAGGGACACCCTCTGTTATATATCCACAAATAGAATATTTAGTAAAACATGAAAGAACAGTGCACAAACATTATTTTGAATATTGATATTGAAATACCCATCTACCTACCGAGTAAAGGGAGTACTGCAGAAGTTCTTTTATTTGATATATTGTTCAGATCGTTAGGTAGATGGTTATATAATTTTAAAGGCATTACAGTACAACTTTCTGCCATTAAAGTTAGTCCATGAGGGGGTATTCTAATCGTCGACGTAGATCTTATATGGTGATTAACAATATCACCTAATACAGTATACTTACAGATGTTTCTTTTCACAAAGATTACACATTTAAGAATATATAATGATACGACTGTTAGAATTGTCGGTTTTGATTACCAAATTTATTCAAATAACTTGGAATAACGTTGCATAGAAATGAACTTCTACTGCCTAGGCAGTAAAAATATACTTTCTATGCGTGTTAAGTGTCATAGAAATACCACACTTGATATCGTCTGGAGGAAAATTTCAACAAACGTCAAAAAAATGTCGGAATTAGCGCATTGCTAAACGTTACCACGACACCATGTCCGAAGCAGTGCGTGAAGTAAAGCGATGCGCGAAGTACATACCTTGCGCATTGTATGTAAACTATATATGAGATTTTTCTATTCAAACTTTATGGTCTTCAATCAAGCAAACATCAAAAAAATCATTTATATCTGAATATTTAATAATAATGATGGCCTTCTTAGCCAGTTCAACGCTATTTTTTATATTAAGCTAGGCATATTATGAGTGTACTACTTCAGAATTATATTTTTTGACGTTTGTAGAAAAAAATTTGTTGGCAACTCGTGCGCGAAACACTTTGGTCTTCTAGAATATCTTTGTAACTCGGCTACGCCTCGTTGAAAAAATCAGTTCTTGATGACCAGAGTAGCATTTCACACACTAAGATACAAAAATAACTATTTTCTCTAAATGACATTGGAAGAGGCTTCTCTATGACATTTACCAGGCAAAAAAGGTGTACTTCTCTGCCTAAGCAGAAATAGTTAACTGCTATGCAAAGTTCCAAGTAATTTGAAATTGGTAATTAAAATTGACACCGACATTGGGTGAACACAAAATGATGGAGTGTTCAATGAAAAAATTACACAAAATTGGTTTTATAACATTTTTAGAAAAAAATATATGATTCACATGGCAGAAAAGAAGATTCTATGCCTTGGGCTTTTCAGCCTAGTAAAACAAATAACAAATATGCATGTACATCATTCAATGTCAATGTTTCCTGTTTATTAAAGTTCATTCCACCGAGTATCAATCTTTTACCTCTCACTTTGTTTGTGAAATAGTCTAATAAAATTCCACTCGTGACTGCATTTATCTCATGAAGTATGTCTTTCATTTCTGAGCTCAACTCATTTAGGAATGAATCGACAGACTCTTCGCGAAAATTCAATCACTAGTGGTATTACTATTGATAATCTACTTTGCGATATGTTTTATTTTTGTTCCAGAAAATGAATGTTGCTGCAATTCCAAAAGATCAGTATGGGATATTCTATGATACAGATGCCTATATTATATATGCTGCCTCACAAAAAGACCAAGTTTGTGGAACTGACACAGTGGTAAATCAATATGGAATTTATATTTTTACAATTTTGATACTTCAGACAATGATTCTGACACACACTACATACAGGAGGAAAAAAAACGCAGTGGGAGAGCGACAGCGCGACTACAGCGACTATCATATACACCAATCTTCAGATACGCGCGTGGCGTAGTTGCTTAAGCATTAGAGGTCCAGGCCGGCGACCCGGGTTCAATGCTTGCGACGCTCGTTTTTTTTATTCTGTTTTGTCAAGTGATTTTCCGAAAACTATTCTTTTTATGATGAAAGTTCATTTACGCCGAGTGAGGTCGTAAGTTTGTTTAAGAAAGTAGTTTTCTTTCTTATTTAGAAGGAATATTTTCCTCCCTCCCTGAAAAAAGTGCTGTGTTGGACGCATTTACTGTTGAGGCCGATAGGGATTCACTATTTCAATGATGAATTAAGGATATTCTTTGGGGTGATCAGTACCCGCGGTCCCGCGCTGTAGCGTTCCACCACCGCTATGATTATCATTCTCCTCCTGTCTGTGGACACTAATTATCCTGAGCACACAGACGTCTCCACAACCTGAACATGTTTCATTCCATCAAATCGTCAGCACCTCCACGTCTCGTTTGGCATGACAACTCAAGAGACTGGAACGGCCTCCGCATGTTTAACTTATACAGTGTGTTCCTGTTAAAACTTGTCAACCCTTTTATTATCTCCGAAGTCCTAGAGGATATTGAAAATCACTCAGACCTGTCGATTTTTATTTCAAGGAAGAACTCTCCAACTATGGTTGTCCCAGAAAAACGTTCGTATATATTCCGAGAGGTAATTCTGCAGATGAAAATAAGACAAAATATTTCTCTCAACATGTGTCCGAAAATGTTTCCTGATAGTCTAAAAGCCGAATGCAAATTTTGACCGTCATCTGATAACAAAATCACTATCCTGAGTAATATGATTGAAAAATTGCACTTTCCTGTGCGGATATTTGCACTCGATTTCGCGATTTGATAACGAGATGGAAATTATACCATCCGATACCAATTCAATGGTAGATCCACGGCACAGCGATTTATTTGTTGCTATTATTCGGGATATACTTCCGTCATGTGATAACGAGTTGAAACGAGAAGCAAACAAAAGGGGATGATGTCGCCTTTGCGAATATCCAAACGTGCCGCGATTCAAACTGGTCTAAGTTAGTGGCAGAGCGTCAATACTTCCGAGAATATTTCGCCTCCCTCTAAAGATAATATCCGATGGACCAGTGTTGAACAAACCATGAGGATTAGAATACTTGTAGTGTGAGCACCACATGAGTTCCACACTGGTTCATCGGATATTATCTTTCTACGAGTGCGAAATATTCACGGACAGGGAAGTGCAATTTTTTAATCATTTCGCTCAGTATAGTGATTTGCACAAATGCCGTTCAATGAACTACAATGTGATTACTCTCCTTTGGGACATATATCATTTCGTTATCAGATGAAGGAAGAAATCTGCAGGCGTCTCTCCTACTATAAGGGCGCTAGATTCCTTTGAAGGTATAGGTCCTCAAATGCAGTTTTTTGAATTTGATAATCAAAATTTTACATCTCGAGTTAGTTTTGCTTCATTAGAGTTATTCATGATGTTGATTTGTTGGTAATAAAATTGAAATTGCCCTTTTCTCGAAAACGGTTCATTTTACGGCATTCTAACAAGAAAAGCTTTTTCTTTGAGAAATGTTCAGAATCATATTCCGGTAGTAGACATGAGATAAACCTTGAAACAATAAAAACATGCTTCAGTTTCGGACCTCCCTGTGTAATAAATATTGTTTTTGGTACCACGGAATGATTTGCAACATCGAATCACCCTTAGGTACCAAATTTCGTGATTCTAGAATCGATGGTAACAAAGATAATTGAAGAAAGCTGCTGCATTTAAGGACCTACTTTCAAAAGGTTCCTTAGGAAGCATTTTCGTACACATGTTGATGGAATAGTTATTTATACACCAAGGTAGTAAAGAATATCATTATTACCTTAGAACCAAGATTATATCCCGAGGATTCAGCCGAGGGGTATAAGGTCCCGTCTTTACTACCAAGGTGAATATTGAATATTTTTCACCACTAGCAATATATTTCAATCATTATAGTTCTGTGGAACTGAAATGTGATGCTATGTCAATATAGAAGCACTTCTTTTCAATTCTAATTGAAATCTAGGCACCATGACAGCATAATATGACAAGTCGTTGTTGTAAATACCTAGATTCGAGTGCCATTCCTGTGAATATCACATCAGAATAGTGAATTCGGGTTAAATATAACAGAGGTGGCTATGCCTTCATTGACTAGTGGTTCATAATATGACGAAAACTACCTTGGTAGTAAAAACACACTTCACGCCTTCCAAAGGAGTAAATAATGGTAGGTTCTATAGCTGATGGTGGAAAACATTTTTTTATATTTTTAACTGCAGAAATACCTCCCGGAGTATCCGAACGTTATTCTGGGACACCCTGTATACAGAGAAGTGCACAAAAAACGGCAAGTGCTGTATATCTTCCAAATCATTCCAGATCGGATTTCGAAAATTGGTGGGTATAGCAAGTATACCAAATTGCTCATGAATTATTGACAAAACAATTGTTTTTCAATCAATTCAGGTTTCACCGGAAACGACCCTACTTTTGATTTTCAAATAGGACACCCTGGTATTTTAGTCCATTATTGGTTAGGGATTATTATGACGAAATTTCCATAATTATTATGCTCAATGGGTGTGACTTCGCAATATCGAAATATCTTTCTCTGTTACACTCTTAGAACGCGAATATCTTCGTCATCGTTTGAAATAACCCTATCAAACCCTTTATCGTTGAATTCGTTATAATAATCCCTATCCGATTATGGAATAAAATACAGGGTGTCCTTCTCACTTGAATATTTGAGATTTTCTCTCCTCGTTTCTATAAAATAAAAATATGAGTATAGTAGGAGGAATCAGATGATTTGCTCCAAAATGTCATTGCGTTTAACGAATTTTCCTATCAGGGAGCCTAAAAGAAAAATCCAATAGCTTGTCAGTCACACTTTGTTTGAAAAAATGTTTGAAGAGGAGAAAATATCGAATTTTTACTTATCTTTGGACGTTTCGAGAACGAATCTGCTCCCGTTCTCCACATAAAAATGCAAAATATTTCTCTTCTAAAATGTTTTTCTTATAGTTTGACACCTCTCAGTGACATACTGAAGTTGGTAAACAAATGAGTTACAGGATGTTTTCATCAATTGATCTTGAATCTACCATCTTCATGTTCAGTTTACAGTAGTGAATACCATGTTCTATCTATATCAACCATGATATCAACTGAACAGAAGAATGCAAGCGGATTCCTTGATGTTCCCCTTTTGGTTGCTATCTTTCTTTCCATATGCCAACATCAGTATTATATTACTTTTTTTTTAAGTCAAAAAGTTGGAAAAGTTCCTCCTAGATTGGGGCTACTTTGTCATCGCATATTATGAATCGAGTTGGCAAAGTATTGCCAGATTTTGATACAGCGTGGTATTTCCTACATTTTGGTAAAAAAAAATCCGAAAATATCTCAATGATTGAAAAAGTTATCGAGCTTTGAATATAGGCCTTCATTTTCAACATAAACATGTTTTAAATAGATAAACACAGTCTGAATATCAATCAACTTCAATTCAGAAAACATGAGGAAACCATCAATCTGATTGAAGTAAAATATTATTTTGTCGACGAAGATGGGCACTGCGGCTGCTGAAGAACTTTCACGATTTTATTTCTTATGTGAAATTTCAAGTTCAGAATTTTATCCTCATAGAAACTGTTTCATTCCGATTTTATTTTTTTCAATAATATGAATACTAGTTTTTATAGAGCCTCAAAAGCGACAACCACAAAATCTCAAGCAAAATATTCTTCTTTGGGTTCCTCTCAATCATTTTCCTGAGCGCTATCATTTCGAATTTTTGATATAGCTTCTGAGTGATTTATTAGTATATATAATCGAATGGATTTTTTAAATTTTGTATTCAAGATGAGATTTTTCTCTACTCTGTATAGATTGCTTTTTCATCTATCTGAGTAAGAAAAGGCGAATCATGGCCAAGATTATGCTAGTCGAATTCAAAGTTTTTCTTTCCGAACATAACATTTTGCTCCAGTAAAAGTGTGGACCGCCTCCCTTTCCTCCAGAACTGATTAAGCCAAATTTTCGAAGAGAAAAGAAATAGATAGTGCCTAAAAAACAGGAACAATTTTCCGAAGATTCGATTCGTTATTATATAGTCACAATTTTAGATACATTTTGTTCACGTTACTTACAGTCGTTGTAACTTGACGGGGATGTATTTTAGGACGCATGTTTATTTAAAAAAAGGGTTATTTTGATTTCAACGATACTTCCTAAAATATTCACTTCGAATTTTGAATCACCGTGTATATTGTGTTCACAATTGAAAATTGTAAGATTTTTATGAAGTTGTTCCTTAAATATGGTAATAGGTAATGAATTCGTTGAATGCATTTATTCAGCACTCTTGTAAAGAACACAATGGCCAATTTCAGTTTGTTTATTACTTTCGTTCTAAATGGTCGGAAGTACCATCCAAACCATTATTTTCAGATACAGAAGAGACGGTGTTGCTCCACTTGCCTAGAAATTCTAATCTAGCGTATTCACATCATAGTCATTCTATTGTTTTGGTGGGTTTACAATGAAATTACATACCTCGTAACATTTATACAGACGTTTTGTAATGATTACGCATACTCAAATTAAATTTCACTATTTTGCTCGTTCAAAAAAACGATACAGAAATAAAATAATTTAAATCCTAAAGTATAATTTCTTCATAAGTACCTATACCGCGTGGTCCACGTATGACTACCCACTCTCGATAAATCTCAAACAAATGAGTTCACAAACATTTTTTTTTAACCCAAAGAAGATACTATACATACTTCAGCCGTCTACTCTACTCAAAAATTTGAATAGAAAACAAGGGTCATATTATACATCATCGCAAAGGTAATTCAATTCTGACACTAGCAGTGCAAAGTTTTTTGATTTGCCGTTCTCAAGATATTCGAGTTCAAATACCTAATATATTCCTCAATTGTTAGTAAGTGAATGAACGAACGAGTCTATTTGCAAATTCGTCTTGCAGGTTCGAATATGTTTCTCTGGCTATTGCCTACTTCAAAAAGCTAAAAAATATTCCATATGAACACTTTACTAACAGTTTATAATAGCTTAATTCAATCTATAATGAGATATGGTATATTGATCTGGGGAGGAGCAAATAAAACAAGCATTAAACCACTTATACAAGTCCAGAAAGGTTCCTAAAAATATTCTTATAGGAATATTATTATTCAACTTCCAAATTATATACTGATCAAATGCTATCAATATACTGAATAGAAGACAAATATATGCAAAACAATTACACATCCATCAATTCAAAAATAAAAGCAAACAACAGATTAAAACAAATGCCTACGGAACTAGACAACTAACGAAAAAACTCATATGCAATCCTAGAATACAAAAATCTATTTCTACAAAGTACGTTCGATACCTCTCTTCCAGATTATACAATACTTTAACCGACCCAATGAAACACATCCCCTCTTATCGTATATTCCAGAAAGAAGTGACAAATTGGATCATAAGCCCGAACTACATTTTAATTATTTTATATATTTTTAAATACCGGAGAAACAAATACTCTCAAAAGTGGACACTAATATCAATTTGATATATAAAAACAAAATGAAATTCCATTCCACAACACAAAATACAAACATAATTTTGTATACATATACACTTACCAATGTGAAATCAACTAAAAATCAAATATAAGCACTCGTGCACAGTTTATTAACTTTAGCGAGGCTTACTCTTGGTTTTTTATCGATAGTTGGTTACTTAAAATAAAAACATGACTCCAAAATGTATAAAGGATTAGTAATCATATCTATTATCAAGCTATTTTATATATTTTTAAATACCGGAGAAACAAATGCTCTCAAAAGTGGACACTAATATCAATTTGATATATAAAAACAAAATAAAATTCCATTCCACAACACAAAATACAAACATAATTTTGTATACATATACACCTACCAATGTGAAATCAACTAAAAATCAAATATAAGCACTCGTGCACAGTTTATTAACTTTAGCGAGGCTTACTCTTGGTTTTTTGTCGATAGTTGGTTACTTAAAATAAAAACATGACTCCAAAATGTAAAGGATTAGTAATCATATCTATTATCAAGCTGTTAATCTAAATTCTCTTTTCCAAACTGTCCAAATCAGTATAAGTTCTGTTAATAACGGATTTCTAATGACCCCAAAAAATAAAATAATCGTTGGGTGCCAAGTCCGGCGAGCGTGCTGGTCATGTTATTGGTCCTCTACGACCTATCCATTCGTTTGGTAAATTTTAGGATAGCCATTTTCTCATGGACCTGATGATTGTAATTCAAATCTTTCGACACATAATAATAATTTTCAACAAGATAGTGCGCCACCTCATTTCGTACTACAGGTGGAAGAATGGATATCCCAAAACTTCCCAAACAAATGGATATAGGTCGTAGATGACCAATGGAATGGCCAGCACTCTCGCCGGGCTTGGCACCCAACGATTTCCAGCAATGTCACATCAACATGCAACATGTGATATTGCTGCAAAGTCACATTATCAAACTTCACCTTTGCAATATTGCTGAACTTCCGTTTCAGTTATTGCTTCAACATTGCATCAACATAGCTTCCAAATTTGTTTAGTAGGAAGGATTTAATCCCAGGCAGTAATTATAGATAAACATTGTTAAATGTGCATGACTAATTTGCAAATAGACTCTACCACTGTCTGGAGGTCAAGACAGGTCATTTTGAACATTTTTGTGAATAACTATATATTTGATAATACATTTCTTACATTAATTTATTCACAATTGAAACACATTACATTTGAACTCGCATGTCTCGAGAACTACTTGTTGCAATTCAAGAAACTTCCCACTGCTAGTGTCAGAATTGAATTATGTTTGCAATGATGGTATAACATAATATGATCCTTGTTCCCTATTCATCTTATATAGGGGGTTTCTCGGAGTGAAATATGAATTATCATCTTTGCGTCAAACAGTGTTCACCTCCAAATAATAAAAAGCGACGTGATTTGTTGTTTTCTTGTAAAATTATTCTTTTGAAAGTTATGGAAGGTGGATAGTCATAAGTTGTACCCACGGTATACCTTTGACACTGACCCGTGCTATAGCCCCTTTTTCACTTGTATCTTTAGCTATCTTACTGAACTTTGGAACATTGAATATGCTCACTCAATATATTTGAGAAAAATACAACTTCCGCGTTATCCAGAAATGATATCAACTTTCAATTTTCAAATTGGACACCATAATAGGTTTCTACATTTTTGGAATCTCCATAATTGTCTGGATCCAATGATACATTATAGTTGATATTTCATTTGTCAGAACCCCCATTTTATTTTTTCTTCTAGAGAGCCATGAACTCCCTAAAATCAGTCTAAATCATCATTATACAATACACTATCTCATTGTCTCGAAATACATGCCATAAGTGAAACAAAACGTGTTTTTATTCTAAACTTCATTTTTTCAAATACGGCATGATAGTGGTAATACTGTGACTAATTTATTGTATCAACAATGCGATCAGTTCATTAATGTAGGTAGGTGCTCAGTGACTCACTGACAATTATTACAGATAATATAAAAACTTCAACATGTGATTCGTCTTTCGCAGCCACCTTGAAAAATTGTTGTTATTGAACCGAGAAGATTTCTTCAAACATTTTTTGACTTCATTATTTTGTTCGTAATGGTCACACAAAAATGGTTAATATTGATGGATAGTATACTTTCGAATGACATCACAGTTGGTACCATTTAAAAAATCGAGTTTTGAGTGAAAAATGCATTGTTTTTACATTTTTGGCACGTATTTCGAGCCACACAACACTTCTTTTATAAAAAATGCGATGCTATATATGTAGCACTATTTGGATTATTTGGAATGATTTTAGGGAGTTCAAAAAATGGGTGTTCTGGCGAATGGAATAGTATCCAAAAATGTAAACATATATAGGGTGAAAATCGAAAGTTGATATCATTTTCGTCTAAATTGTGAGCATATTCAATGTTTCAAATTTCACAAAAAAATATGAAGAAACAAAGGAAGACATGAGGGTGAGGCATGAGTCTACATCACACGATATACATATTCAGTTTAATGCCATGTATATAGCGGGGTAACCGAGCTTCCTAGTCAGTCAGTATACAGGGTGTTTCATAATTGAATGTCAATATTTGGGGACGCAATTCTTGGGCCCATTCTAAGAAGAAAGTTTCATATGAACGTATGACCTAAACATCCTAACTTTTGAGATACAGGGTGGTGAAGTTCTCAAAAATTAATAGTTTTTTATTAATATCTGTAATACCACTTCAGATATTCTGATGAAATTTGGCATACATGTACTATGTATCAAGAGGCATCAGTTAGCGTACCACATTTTTTGTTGTTGCCACCAGTGGCGTTCGTATGGAATTTCACATACCTATTTTGGCAGACATTGATGGTACGCCACTGATTAATCTCCAAATTGAAATCATTCCTGAAATTCCCGATCATTTCTAAGCAAATTTGATCACTTCAATTTTTTCAATCTGATGCACGGTTTTCGCTTAAAAATAAAAAGCTTTTCACTACATGATTATAGTAATATTGTTAATATGATAATATCACAATGCAGAGAAATAGTTTTTATTTTTAAGATCAAATTTCAGAAATACAATTCATAGTTCATGAACTTTGTATTCGTATTTGGTATTTTCGAATTATAACTTCTCATTGTAGTAGGCTATATTAATTTTCGAGAATTTTACCACCCTGTATCTCCAAAGTTGGGACGTTTAGGTCATACGTTCATATGAAACTTTCTTCTTAGAATGAGCCCAAGAATCGCCTCCTCGAATATTGACATTCAATTATGAAACACCCTGTATAGGGAGGCATAGATAATAGGTAAAACATGTCAAATGATACAAAACTTGATATCCTCATGCCCCACATTCCCCAACGATTTTTTCTCTACATCTACATCTGATTTTCAGCAAGCCTGCAAGACTTGTTTTTTGAGTTCCTTCAACAGTATCATTCATCAATTATTTTTAGTCACGAGAAATCAAAGGATGCACCATGGAATACCATATCCACTTCTGGCTGGGCTCACAGACAAATCCAGATAGGTCTGGAGTGGCTGCATATAAAACTGTCGAATTAGACAGTTATCTCAACAGCTGTGCAACTCAACACAGGGAAACTGAAGGAAATGAAAGTCCTAGATTCTTGAGCTACTTCAAAAACGGAATGAGGTGAATAACAATTATAAGCAGAAAAATGTTATCGCAACTATGAATGCTAGTTAGGCTGTTTTGCTGGCGTAAAGTGGTGCTTTACCGCCCGTGCAGTACTTTATCGCCCAGCGTATAGGTGATTAGCATTCTTGTATAATTCAGGACATCTCTATGATTTAGTTGTGATGGTTTATTAACTAATATGACAGTTCTCTTGATATTTCTGAGATGCAAAATTATAGTTTGCTTGAAACAGTTCTATCATGTTCCTCCTATCATATTTCTACTCCTGGACTCGGATTTGACGAAGGTAGCTATAGCTTCCTCCGAGGAGACGTTGGTTTTCCCTGACTATGCAGGGTCTGCTGACCGAAACCAAAATTGTGCGGCTGGCTTCTGTTTGTTGACTACGTTATTTTGTTTTTTCGTTTTCCACCAAATCTTGCCCATATTTCTGCACTTCTTTCAACGTACTGATGGGGGCCGAAAGCCCGAAACACGAGTCGGCGATTAACACTTCATGAGGACTATCTCCACTAATTTCTTCCTAGTTTGCTTGGAACAGTTCCCTTAATATTCCTTGTATCTCCTAACAGTTTTTTTCTTTCGGAGGTGGTCGAAATCCTTCATGGACATCACGAAGGACCATTCCCTTTATAGTAGTGTGGGAATCCCCTAACACTCCACCTCCTTTCAAGGCTCGAATATGCCGTTATTGATTTCACCATATACGACCCATGGTTCTTATATAAGGGCAACTTCAAATGCCGCCACAGTAACTGTGAGTACTGCTACCCACAGTACCAGAGACCCTTTTCATTCAGGTCCCTGAAGACTACTCTTCTGAGCCCTGATTTCGTTCATGAAGAAGGCCAAAAGTTTTGCTTCTCCTACGAGTAATGGGGGAAGGGGTTGATCCAGCCCTGTGGTGCCCCCTGCACAGGGCTAAGGCTGTTTACTCTGAGATGTTTCCCAGGGGTCCTATTATCGACATCTACAACCTTGGTGCCATTCATCCCTTGTCACGGGTTCCCACAGCTTGGATTAGGTTGCCAGAGCCTCGTTATCAATCCGCAGCCACATAAGCAGATGTTCACAAATTGACCCATCTTTGCACTCAGGTGTCCACAAAACTGTCCCATCTGAGTGATAAGAGCAAAGATGTTCCCAAAATGCTCAAAAAAGGAGTAAAAAAGAATTTACCAAGAGAGGCCGATACATAAGATTGAAAACTGAAGAGGCTACCACCAAAGACAAGTTGAAGATTAATGCGTATTCGGCTAGGGTACCATACTCACAAGTCGTGAGTTAGTAGGTATCTAAAATTTGAAAATCTCATACACACGTACTGTGATTCTGTATACTAGGTGCTTTCTCTGTCATCTGCCATTTCATCATATGTCGGTCACCAGTGGTTCACATTCCATGTTTTCCCGAAGCCATTTCCGCTATGGACATATTGCTCTTATCAATCAATTAGCTACTATGATTTCAATATCATACATTTTTCATTCCCATGTGAGTAACATAAACCTCATTCAATTTCAATTTCATTGTTGGCCAATCAAATTAGATCAAAAAAAAACATTTTGGGGAATTAAGTCTCACCAAGCTGGATATTGTTTCAATACCTTCATTTGGTCCTGTATAAAGTGTAATGTGAGTTTGCACCATCCCAGGAGGTGAGCTTAACATTTGGGAAGCCAAAAGGTAAATATGTTCATACTTTTTTCAGTTTTTTGCTTGAAGCTCGAAATCAGTTAGTCGGACGAAAAACGACACTCAATTTAATATTCAAGAGGGTAAAATTCTGCGTAGAATGAGTAATCAAGAGTGAGAAACGGAAACTTTTCTCATTTCAGTATACATACGTTTTGCGACTTTCCGATCCACATATCTTCGATACAAACTCACAGGATGAAAGTTGTAGAGAATGAAATTGCACGCTACTTCGTTGCAATATTTCAAATGTTTGTTTCAAATTTGGTACATCGATTTGATTCACTATGTCTATTGTCCCGCTATTATTAGACCAAATATGACATTTCCGGTTTGACTGGAAGCTCATCAGATTTTTTTCATTTCAAATACGAAGTTTCTTTCCGGAAATTATGATTCAGTATAGAATTACCTTTTCAACGATATAATTCATTATCATTGACAACCAATAACTATATGAAGTGGAAAGGTTGAATACAAATGTGAGCGTAGATATGGTATGGCATGGAGACTATCTACATTGAAATTGAATAGAAAACAGAAATTTTAATCATTTTTCATTTTCGTATTTCAATATGTATTGGATTCTCTAACAAACTGAAATTGTAAAAATAGTTAGTGTGCATAAAAAGGGCACTGGGACGAAATAGCGCAGGACAAAATAGCGCAGGACGAAATAGCGCGGACAAAATAGCGCAGGGACATAATAGCGCAGGGTCATAATAGCGCAGGGACATAATAGCGCAGAGACAAAATAGCGCAGAGACGAAATAGCGCAGAGACAAAATAGCGCAGAGACGAAATAGCGCAGAGACAAAATAGCGCAGGGTCATAATAGCGCAGGGACAAATTTGAGCGCGAAAACGTAGTGCATCATCTATGATTACGTTAATTCTTTTGTCAGGGCATAGACTATTTCTTCAAATACTAGATGTTTCAAAAGGAGACTACCCTTACAAACGAAGTGCCTTAATACTAGGTATGCCGTTGGATTGTTAAAGTAGACCTATGATTAGGTTAGTTTGTTTGCTAGGGTATAGACTCATTTTGAAACACCTTGTATTTGAAGAATGAGTCTTTACTCTAACAAACGAACAAACCTAATCATAGATCCTCATATTATGTCCCGCGCTATTATGACCCTGCGCTATTTTGTCTCTGCGCTATTTCGTCTCTGCGCTATTATGACCCTGCGCTATTTCGTCTCTGCGCTATTTCGTCTCTGCGCTATTTCGTCCCTGCGCTATTTTGTCCTGCGCTCTTATGTCCGCGCTATTTTGTCCTGCACTATTTCGTCCCAGTGCCCATAAAAAGTTATTATGTACAAATTTTTATATCTAATTATTGTTATTTACATACTATTGTTTTATTATCCATAGCACCTTTTCATGAAAATATTCCGTTACGAGGGGAATACAAAAATTATTTTTCCATAAAATCGCAATTATATGAGTAGATTGTGTATTAAAAGTATATGATTCTAAAATATCGTTGAAAAGGTAATATTCTATACTGAATCGTAATTTTCAGAAAAATAATTATTCTTATTTGTATTTGAAATTAAAAAATTGGATGGTCAAACTGGAAATGTATCCAAGACATATATTTGTTTTGATATTAGCAAAATTATACACTCATGAATTTAAATCGATATACCAAATTTGAAACATCCATTCAAAATAGCAACGAAGATACAGGGTGGTGAATTGGTTCCAGGTCACCTGGTATAGATATCATAATTTTCGAAATAGGTCCTTTTGAAAGACTTATTTTACTCAATCAAATATTTTTGCAATCTCCAAAAATCCAGCATTCCTTGAATGGACCATTTAAATAATTCAGTATCTCCAGAATATACTTCAACCACAAAAGTTGAAAAATTAATAGATAAAAATGGGAGTGAAAATAATGAAATCCACATGCAATATTGGCTCTTGGTGTACATACATCATAACAATAAAACGTAATAATGATTTAATAAAGTCGAGAATCCGAGATTAAAGTCGGGAGTCCGAGAGATCCGCACGTGTCATAACAATTTCTCCCACAAAAGTTTCTAAACCTTTCAAAATGACTGAATTTGAAAATATGGATATCTTCATAATTCGGAATTTCATTATCTACAGCTTTTATTCAACAATTCTTTTTCAACAGAAGCATCTGTTTGGAAGATATGCGGCCCTGGAATGTCGCAAAATGTGAGTTTGCTCTGAAATGGGAAAAGTTTCCGGTTTCTGACTCTTGATGGCGGCTGTAGTTCGAAAGCGAAATTTCATGCACTGATTTTTTGCAGAATTTAACTCTCTTCAATATACAGGGTGGACCACCAGTAACGCCTCGGTCTCTAGAAGGCTAACCACTCATCTTCTTGGAATTCTTCCTCTCTAGGAAGTTGCATGTCAATATAGGCTACCATTTAAAATTATTTCGAAACATACAGGGTGTCCCCAAAAACCATAAAACACTGAAGTTAAACTTTTTTTCTATCGAACACCCTATATATTATTTCATTTTGAGATTCTCCCTGATGAGCTGATTTCAACGACCCATCATACTTGGGGTCTAGCAGTTATAATTACTGAAATATAGGGTGTGAAAAATCGAGATTTTCCAAGTTCAAGAATTTTTTGTGTCGAAACTATTCATAATTGGTCAAAACGGCTTACATGTCCCTATCTCAACTTTTGATTAACTATCTACTGATATTGAAAAACGATCTTTCATGGAAATAATAATACCCTGTATCTCGAAAATGAAGCAAGTTAGGATACATGTTCATATGAACTTTATTTCCTAAAATATCACAAGGAATCACCCCTGGATTTTTTTCGGTGTGCTTTATATTCACGTATAACCTCCTATCTTAGATTGGGCAATAATGAATTTACATTGAGAATTTCTCCGTAAACACTGAAAAAACTCGTTTCCTTGAAAAAAAGTCGATTGTGACTAAAACATTTTCACCAACGGTAGGAGAATGAGGTACTTGAAGTAGGCAAAACAATATTTCTGAAATGATGTGTCTGCTTTAAGTGATCAGGACACCTGTTGGTATTGACCAAATCAATATGTATTTTGAGTTCGCTAATTATAAGTGAACACTAAACTAGTGCTAGGTTAACGAATACTCACCATTATTAAATTATTTTTCTGAGACAAAATCACTTGCTCTGAGCGAACTCATCGAAAAAGTAAATCTATCAAGTCGAACGGTGCAGGTGACAGCTCACCTGTTTTTTATCGCTTGGAGCGCACGAAAGGGAATCCCTATAATGTTCAAAGAACATCGTGCGTTCCTAGGAAGGAACCTGTATATTGTTAGATATCTTTTCTCCGTTCGGACATCTCCGATATATTATTCGGGTGCCCACGCCCATCGCGACCACTAACATACTGTCTAAGGCTACATTATGATAATGATGGAAATAAGTAGATGCATGGTGTACGTAGTCGGCCATTTTTACGTATTGAAAACTTAAGAAAAATCCCTCAACCGCCTACTATGATTCCTCTACGTCACATCGAGCGAGACGTTCATTCTACATTTTTCCGCTAGATGGTAATGCTGCAATTGCTGCTGTGACGAGTGGAATTAAAATGGCGAATGGCATTTCAGGTACACGGAACATATGTAACAGTGGGATTATTTAACTCGGAATTCGAAAAATCTGCGGCAATAAAAAAAATTCTATTAGAAGATCGACGGAACCATTGCTCTCGCTCGAGAGGTCGAGTAAAATTTCTGAAACAAAAGCGCATCAGTAATAACACCATATCTTACTTCCATCATTATTATGATCTTAGCATTTCTGATTTCATAATGATGATGAACTTGCGAAATGGTGAACATGGATAAATTGTGGTCAATAATACAAATGAGGTAGAAATTTTGCAGAATTTGATATGTAATCCTAACAATATAAACAAGTATGAAGAAGCATCAAAATAAATTTTGTTATAATAATCGCCTTCATCCCGAAGTGTCCTGAATGACGTTTTCTTTGTTGTCCTTATTACTAACTCCACAAGCCACTGAGCAGCACTCCAAACACAACAGTTAATTGTGCAGGGGAAAACCTTGCCCCATCCCACATGAATTGGGTATACTCATTATCTATAAATATTTGTAGGATATTCAGATATGAACAAATCGCTGATTGTCAGGATGTACGTTTGTACAGAGTAAAGGGCAAAAGGATTCCAGTTCTGAAAGAAATGTCGAAAGTTTCGTGGGACTTTTTCAACAGTGCTGATATCTTCCTGATGGCAACAAGGAAGAATATTTTTATGTGGACAGGAAGAGCTGCAGATGCTGTTGAAAAACTTCATGCAACCAACGTAAGTATATAGAGAGAGAAATACTGGGTGTAACAGGATTATGGTAACCCTCCCTTGTATTCTTTGAACGTCACATTTTGACTCTGATTCATTCCCAATTCGAGTTTCAACGAAAATGATAGTAAATAATGTCACCTAATGTCAGCGCCATATATTAATATCTCATATCTATCTCATATCCAACAGCCTGACATAGGCTATCGCCAAGGGCACCATATCCAACAGCCTGACATAGGCTATCGCCAAGGGCACCGTAAAGGAATAGGCGACTAGTGAGCTCTCGCAAATTTTTGTTGTAGGTAATATCCTTGCAAAATGAGAACAAATCCTTATAATTCAACACGGAAGGAACATAATCGTTACCAGAGGAGGTCATGATGGATATCCTGCTCTTTAATAACATACAAGAATATGTATCGATGAAAATGGCCAACCTGGATTTCAAAAATTTCAATTCAAAAATGGTTACGAATATCAATATGGATGTTGAGATAAAATATGTGTAATACTGTCTGTAGGTTAATCGAGGAGGTGGTACATTCATTTTACTTAATTTCTTGGGATTTTCTCTCCTCGTTTCTATGAAATAAAAATATGCGTATTATTTCAATATATTTGTAGTGGGATAAATGAATATTTCTATCAGGGAGTCTAAAAGAAAAATCCAGTAACTTGTCAGTGACACTTATAGTTTGAAAAAAATCGAATTTTTACTTATCTTTGGACGTTTCGGGAACGTCTAAAGATAAGTAAAAATTCTATATTCTTTCAATATATCTATATTTCTTTCCTCCAAACATTTTTATCAGCTTTTACAAGCTACTGGATTTTTCTTTCAGGCTCCCTGATAGACATTTTTTTTAAACGCAGTGACATTTTGGGGCTAATCATCTGATTTGTTCCACTACAAATATATATTGAAATAATACGCATATTTTTATTTTAAAGAAAAGAGGAGAGAAAATCCCAAAAATTCAAGTAAAATGAATAAAAGATGTACGTGTTTCGATTTTACACCAAATGTCCTGAAAATATATGGGGTGTTCCATTTGGAAAACTCGAGATAAATCACTACCAAAAGTTCCGAATTGAAAAATCATTTTTAGCCACCCTGTATATTTTGAGGGCATAAAAATTCTACAAAAATATCACGCATCTTTACATCGAATGATATTATGATTATTAGGTATCTCTTGAACTTCATAATTGTGATTACAGTGATTTTTTTGGTATGGATCTGCAGATGACATTATTTCGACAAAAAAAATTAATAACTTTGAAATGATCGAGAAATGGTCAACAATATTATAGGAGTGAATGGAGGTCACAGAAATGCTTAAAAAAATGTGCTAATATTTAGGGCATTCCATTTTCGATGCCCCCTGTATATACGGCAATAATTTATGGTTACGGACCTTGTTGTCTCATTACCATTCGTTTTTGAATCTAGTTTCTAGCTATCATATAACTCGAGCAATCGAGCTCCGACGCACTAATACCCCACCCTGTATACTTCATTTTCATTCTTTCTTTAGATATTTTCATGAGTGTGCTATCAACGTTTCGATTTACCATTGAACCGTTTTAATGGTAGAAACATTGAAATTCCGTCAAATGTTTCAAATCATAGATCTATTAGGGTCAATCTCCAACAGGACAGATATAATACACCCGATAGAAAAAATACAAATTATTATGATAAATATTGATATTTGAAATGTCGCTCATGTGTGGTTGCATTGGATTTAGAATATCAAGCAACATATAAAGAGTTTAGAATACAGTGTGCCATATGAAAATTATTCATATGTCGAACAAGTGACGACGAAGTATACGTTGCTAGAAAATTCAATAATTTATCCTCGAAAGTAGAGTAGGTACCTACTCACATTTTTGCTACTAAAAATTGGAAGAAATTGTTTCTGTAGGAGGTAGAACATTAATTTCTCCAGATTTTTTTGGGAATTTCTCTCCTTGTCTCTATACTTAAATACCTAATTGAGATAGGTATTAGTAGAGTCACTGGATTGTATAACTAATACCATCCAGTGACTCTAGGTATTAGTAGGTATAACATATTTCAATATTCCTGCTACTACGAATTATATGTAAAAACAAGAAATTGGTTCACTACACTGTTTTACCACTAACCAAACCGATTTTTTACCGCCTCGACACGTGTTTTGCTAACTATGTCAGCATCTTCAGGAGAAGATTAAAACTAAATATCCTATTCTAGTGTGCTGCTTATATACTATAGGTATATGTTCACCCAACTGTGAAAAATTCTAACCGTCAAGTTAATGTTTGTCATGGTTGAGTTCACATGTTAATCTTAATTTTTATTTTACTAAACTATATGGAATAGGTCCATTATCCTTATTCATTACTTTATTACTATTCTTAAATATGATATTAAGAAATTGGTTGATCGTTTTTGTGATGTATCTACCTGTATAATGTAGGCGTGACTTGTTAGATCTAGTGGTATCCAAGAAATTATTATTGATTTACTTGTCAGAAAGAACCATCATCAAGATAGACTGATCATTTTTAATAAATTTTCGACAATCTTTGGAAACGCGAAATTTCGTTACAATTAACCACTTGGGGTTATTACAGTTTCCAATGAATATTATGTGAACTATATTCATACAGAATGTATCAAAAGTCAACGTTATCCCTTTGATGGTTGATGAGCCAACTCATGAACTTAGAACATTTTTATATCTGCAATAGTCGTCCATTTTAATACCAAAATTAGCTCTTGAACTGACGTTTCCATTACTGACACAAACATAGGTATGTGGCAAGGCAACACTATTAGTTCCTAGGAGCTAAAGTTGAACTTTACCTGCTAGGAACTTGGAAGGATGTACTAGGTCATCAAGAATAAACAACATTTTTTTGGTTGGTTATTTGGGTTAGGCATACCTGTTTTGTTCCCGATTTCGGCAGATTTAGCATTCCATAACAATGCTGGAGATATATTTTTGTTTTGACTAGGATAGGCTTCAAGATTCACATACTTTCTTGATCTGTATTTCATTCATTCTCGGGATCTGATTGATTGGATAACTTGTTTTTGAATAATCACGGCCAGCAGTAATTTTTGTCTCACACAACGATATTGTATACCTTCATTTGATTATCGAGCCAGACACAGTGGCATATGGAGAGAAATAAATAATCGCTATTATTATATTGTTGATATGCTCACTAACCTAAAACATTTTCCACTTCTTTTTTCTATACCTAGCACTGGCGCGATATTTGCTATTAGGGCTGACACCAGGTCCAAATGAATTCATCGATTCAATAGAATACACAAATGGGTCCGTCTGTGGTTATATTGAAACTACAGTTCGAACATCCTTGAAAATTGAATAAACCTGATTTGTAAATGCAGGTAGAATATTCTCAACACACGGATTACTTGTTGCATTGCATATACATATTGTAGTATCTGATGATGCATGTCAACACAAATTGTATCAACGTAATGTCATCGTCCAACAATATTCTAATGTAAAGTAGTCTGAGATCTCGCTTTTATCTACTTACCTATATTATTATAATAAAGGTATTATAATAATATGTCAAGCAAGTCACATTGGTGAATACTTCACATATTTATTTTAGTTCATTAATTCGGTTGCAGAAAAAATTGCATGTTTCATTCGGATCAAAAGTGACTTTGTGTGACTCAAAAATTTTGCCTACGCTCGGCTTCGCGAGACGCTACGCCTCACAAATGCAAAATTTGCTTGTCAGACAAAGTGTCACTTTTGATCCTAATAAAACAATCTACTATTGAGTCTTGAGATATTGACACTTTTATTAATTTCTTCATATCTTAGCTATCAGTTTCTTGCGTGTCATATAGCTACAAATTCTCTTTTTTTTTATAATTCTTATTTTTGCTAAGCAACCCTCAATAGCCAAGCTATTGATCACCGTCCGAAATAGAATTCATATTGCCCTAAACCATTGCAAGAAAATTAATGTTGATCGATTCCTGAAAAAAATAACCACTCCAACCTTGCAAGTTATATCAGCAATTTGTTTCTGTTTCAACTCGAGAATTAGATTAATTCAAAAGTATATATATATATTCCAGATTGCCATAGAAATGAAGGAAGATCTTAAACTCTCCAACATACTATTTGTCGACGATGGATACGAAAAAACCCTGAAAGACGATATAAAAATAGAATTCAACAAATATCTCCCACTGGAAAATCGACTCATATTACCAGAAAATCATGATGCAGATGAAAATGGAAATTACCAAAGATCCACCATCAAATTATACAAATGTACAGAAAATAATGGAAAATACAGGGTAGTCGAACTGAAAAGTGGACCTTTGAGTCAAAAGGATCTGAGTGCCGAAGTGAGTTTATTTTACTATTCTCATCTCGTATACTTACTTTGAAAACTAGTTCTATGTAACTTTCTGAAAATCATTCACAGCGTCAATTCAATTTCAGAAAGCGTCAATTGAATTTCAGAATATCAACTTGTATTTCATAGGGCGTAAAACTTTGTATTTCAGTCACTTGTATCTCAGAAAGTATATCAATTGTATTTCAGATTAGTCAATTTAATTTCAGATAGCGTCAATAATTGTATTTCAGAAAGTATATCAATTGTATTTCAGATTAGTCAATTTAATTTCAGATAGCGTCAATAATTGTATTTCAGAATAGTCATTTAAATTTCAGAAAGTACCTATCAGTTATTGTATTTCAGAATAGTCACTTCGTATTTCAGAAAGCGTCACTTGTATTTCAGAATAGTCAATTAGATTCCAGAAAGCGTCATTTGTATTTCAGAAAATATCATTTGAAATGCAATTGTCGCTTTCTGAAATTCAAATGATATTTTCTGAAATACACAATAAATGACGCTTTCTGATATTCAATTGACTATTCTGAAATACAGTTGACTCTTTCTGAAATTGAATTAACTATTCTGAAATAGAATTGACGCTTTCTGATGTAAGAAGAATGTAGTGTGAGACTAACTAAAATGAATGTATGTATAGAGATTGTGATTGTAGACCAAAGACCACGTGAGCGTGAATTTTATGTTCGAACTAGCAAAGTCTCTTGTTAAACAACAACAGGAGAGAACAAATTTTATTAGATGTTTCTCGTACAAAGTTATAAATCTGACTGAATGTTGGAATGAACAAATAATGTAACAAGAAGATTTTGAAGAGTCAGCGGAATTGAAGAGGTCCCTTGGGACGTTGGTGCAGAATCTCCAGTTCTTAGGAAGCTTATGGGAACCGGTGATATAATTGCAGGAATATTTCCACACTGCTCGTTTTCACTTTCGCATTGCTATGGTGATATAAGATACTTTCACAACACAGTGTGCTATATCATGCTTTCATAGATGGTCGTGGGAAATAGAATATTGTTTAACGAGCGCGGAATGATAGTGATTTCCATGCTGCAATCATTCGATTGGGGAATTAGTATTCCGTGCGCGTTATACACTATAATTTTTTTACGGCTGTAACAGATAACAGCGGCATTTTTTATTTCTTCGTCTTGTAGTCATCTGATTTCCTGTCAAGTAATGCTCATCTATTAGACAGCTGTAAATGCTTGAAATTTGATATTCCATGAGCGATGAGATTTTTTAAAAATAAAACAATGCTTTAGTTGCTTGAAATTTGATATTCCATGAGCGATGAATTTTTTATTTAAATAACACAATTAATGCAGTCATTGTGATATCAGATACGAAATCAAAATTGATAGCATACAAAGTACCTCAATGATGTATCGAACACAGTAAAACAAGAGCAATTTTGTGTTATAGCCGTAGATAAACCATTTTTCCTACGACCATCTATGAAAGCAGCATATAGCACATTGTGTTGTTGTTCAGAAAGTATCTCATATCACAATAGCAATGCGAAAGTGAAAATGACCAGTGTGGCAATATTCCCGCGCGCTCACGTGATCTTTGTTTGGTCTATACTAATGTATGGATGATTATATAATACTGAATTACCATATTTTGATACTTACTATCACTGATTCTTTTTACACTAAGACTTATGCTTACAGTATAGGTACTTATAATGTCAAATTTATGTTGATTTAATGTTGAGTTAATGATAGATTAATGTGAAGTTGATGTTAATTCAATGAATCAATGTTAATTGAATAATAATTTGAGGTTCAGTTAATGTTATGAATTAATGTTGATTCAATAGTAATTGACTGTTGAATTGTTGATGTTAAGGTAATGATAGGTTAATGTTAAGGTAATGTTGAGTTAATGTTAAGTTAATATCAAGTTGATATTGAGCGCTTGTTAAGTTGAGTAAAAGTTCATCTCAAGTTAATGTTAACTTAATGTTAACGTGATGTTAACTTAATGTTAACTCAATATTAACCTATAATGTTATTTTGATGTTGACCTAATGACAATTTCAATGTTAAGTTGTTAATTTCAATTCAATGGTGATTTGATAATAAATTAATGTTGAGTTGATATTGCAGTTAAACGAAATCATGATAATTATAATGATAGCATCTTCATGTGATCAAATATGATCAGAAACATGATTCCTACTCAGGTCTTTCATTATTATACTTAAATATAATTTGAATATTTGTGGTCGTAGGAAAATAGTATATTACACACCGAGGTGGGAAGTGATTCATTCCTGTCGTGAGATTAGTTAGTTAACCGAGACGCAAAGCGTCGAGGTTAGCTATAACTTCGAGACAGCAATGAAACTTCCTACCGAGGTTTGTATACTATTTTATTCACAACCATCATATTTCGATCAAAATGCGTCACTTTCCTCACTAGTTATGTAATGTACTATTATGGAACGATCATTCATCACATGATTTTTTCAGGATGTTTTCATAATCGATCACGACATCAAGGGGATTTGGGTATGGGTGGGCAAAAAAGCCAACGACAAGGAACGTAGCGAAGCATTGAGGAATGCTCGTGGTTTCGTAAAGAAAAAGGCATACTCCTCGAGTACCCAAGTGACCAGAGTTGTGGACGGCTATGAACCTTGCGAATTTAAAATGCTATTCGCTTCCTGGTTGGACCACACCAAAGGTAATTTACTATAGTATATTATGTAACAAGTGTTATAAACGTCATTTTAGTAACGAGTATTTTGAGCACTAGCGCAGAGCAGAGCGGAGCGAGTGTTCAATAAACGAGTGTCTAGAAGAGTTTATAAACGCGTTACATACTATACTCTTTCTACGAACTCATGATTCCTTTCTTCGACAAGATCCCATAATTCCAACAATTTGATTAACCTACCGGGTAACCTACAAAATATATTTCGGAGGGAATGGGAATTGAGAACATAATACTATGCAACTGCATGCAACCATAACGAGACCCGCATAATTTATATCGATTGTAGATGTGCGTCCAGTCCATAGGATACATGAATTTCTATTGGACTTGCTTGTTTACTGACATCTAGATTAGATTAGATAGAGTGGGGCCTTCGGGCTATCTGCCTCCACATCGCGACCTTTTAAGATCTATTGTGTCTGCCCTCAAAATCGTTTAGAGTTCATTGGCTAGCCCCACCTTCTCTATGAGACTTCATATGATGGCATTCAGATCCCCTGTGTGTAACTTTGGACTTTTGGTTTTTCCTTACCCAGCGTAAGGAACCCTAGTCTTGACAAGCCCTCACAGTGGCAACATATAGAGTTTTTTCTTGCGCATCTTTTGGTGCAAGAATCAAGCGAATCCAACAATTTCCGATTAAGTTTACACGAGAAAGGATTTACCTGATGAGCCATTGAGGTGCAAGAGTCGAGCAACTTCAGGAGTTACCCGATTTTTGCACTGAAATGTAGGCCATGACGGTGCTAGAGTCGGACAACTCCAGGAGTTACCCGATTTTAGCACCGAAATGTACGCGTGTAGTGAGAGATGTCGGAGTGAGGTTATTAGCGGCGAGCCTTCCCGCGTCTTCCATCGTATGTGGCGTGATTAGTTTGATCATTTGTTTCATACAATACAATGTGATATCGTCGGAAAGTGAAAGTGAGCCCTTTCAACATTCGGGGAGTGAATATGTTCCAAAAACATAACTGTTGATGAAGATGACCCAAATCCTGGCAATGTTTACGAAGATCAAGAGGCAGGAGACGCCAGCGACTCTTCCTATGTTCAAAATACTATTTGTCCACAATATTTTCCGTTATATATTCCATTTTCGATGAAAAAGCAAGATTATTACACAAGTTTGACTATATTTTCAGAATTTTGTCTTTTTGGGGCAAGAAACAGGCAACTCCATTTTTCAAACTCCTTTTTGAGCTACTACAATGTAAATGAAAATTACTATCTAAGTTGATACAGCTTATCTATCGTAACTCTAAAAGATTCATACCATTTAGCATCATTTTTTTCAAGTTTCTCAAAAACATCAAGATTTTTCCCATTCCCCGGTTCTTGCACCGAGGTCTTCAATTGCAGAGTCTTATCTCTGGTCCAAAGATTTATACTTTCTTTGGGGGGATCCTCTCCAGAAATGACTATCGCAATTTTAAGATGCGTCAAGCATTATTCCTTCTTAATTTCATTCAGGAAATTCCAAAGAGACGATTTTGGAGCATCAATAAGAGATAAAAATCCCCTACGCCATGATTCAGTGGCGTTGTTGATCAACTGAGCTATATAGGTAGGTAGATTTTCGAAATAAAGGCATAAACGTTTTCGAGAAAACAGCTTTTCGAAATGAAGGACTTTGAATAAAAAAATTCCAGAAAGTTTTTCGTTGTAAAAAAATGCTTCCAAGAAAAAGGATTTTTGAAAATATTGATTTCGAAAACTTTGAAAATCCGCAACTCTTTGTTGTTATTATAATGATGGTTTTCAGGCTCGTATGTGATTAGTGTTCGGCGTTTCAGTAACTCATTTAGTATTTAAGCAGACTATTTTGTGAATGCATATGCTTCGGCAGTACCGAATCTGTAATCTGTAAAGAAAAGTTAGTTATAAATATCCTAACCTGATATTTCACGGGTACAGAGATATTTGGTCCAGTTGCGGTCTCCTTATTTGAGGGCTTGCTTTTGTTGAAGAGCATGATTGAAATATTGAAAATATCAAATAACTTCACTAGGATACATGTTACAACACGTGAGAGTTTATTTATTAATGTATCACATACACCCTTATAGAAATCCCGACTAATAAGATGAGTGTATTAGGTAATTTATATTTATGGAGAATATCAATAATTATCTGGTAATGGTTCCGCAGTTATCCCCACCATGCGCAATTTCATGCATTCATCATTGTTTGGCGTTTAGGACTCTTGTTTTTTGTCGTATACTTTTGAATGATTTATGAATGAATCGCGGTGTCTCTATACAGGGTGTTAAAGAATAAGTGTGACAAACTTCATTGGTTGATTCCTTGTGATATTTTAGGAAATAAAGTTCATATCAACATGTGTCCTAACTTGCTTCGTTTTTGATATACAGGATGTTGTAGTTGAAAGTATTAATTGTTTTTATTCATAACGTCCCTGTATAAGCTTTCATGGTGCCAAAATTCAGTATGATTGGAGACTGAAAAAGTCCCGAAATTTCAAAATGATTCTTTTTTGAGTAATCTCAATGAATGTTTCGAGTGCACCCTACATTAAAGTTTGGAGTCAAATCGAATATTTATTGTTTCCTCAAATACTAAGCGACATACAGAAGAAACACAGAGGATCAGAAAGTTGATATTCCAATTGTTCAATCTAATAAAAATATGGAAGTCAGGTTAGGTTGGCCTACAATATTAACCGTAAATATCGATAAATTAACCCACTGTGACGCCACTGAAAATATTTTTTCGAATTTAATCACATATCAAAAGAAGATTCATGTTACATTCAACAATACCACCAAGTTTCATTGGAATTGGTAATGAGACATTCGAATACTGATTAAAAAACGATTTTTCACGGCAATATTGATACCCTGTATCTTGGAAACGAAGCAAGTTAGGACACATGTTTATACATATAAACTCTATTTTCTAAACTATCACAAGGAATCACCCCCCGAAGTTTGTCGCACTTATTCGCTAACACATGTATAGTATATCTATTGTTATGTAGTCTAAGCATATTACCTACATATAACCCATGCATTTCGCAGGCTCGGCTCCAAAAATCATCGTCTCCAAATACGACGCCGACGCAATGGAGGACCGCCCCAGCCTGTCCGCCGAGACGCAGCTGATCGACGACGGGGCAGGAAGCACGACGGTCTGGAGGGTCAAACAAACGAGTATCGTGGAGGTGCCGAAGGAGAGACACGGGGTATTTTTCTCCGGGGACTGCTACATCGTCCTGTATACTTACCATACGGCGTCGATGGGGCAGAAGCATTTGCTCTACAGTTGGGTGGTGAGTATTCAGGTCCGTTCTTTTTTAATCTCTTGGAGCGTACGAAAGTAAATTCCTATAATGTTCATCGTGCTCACCTAGAGAGGATACGGAGAGGAGGTTGGTGTCGGCATTTTGTTTAAACTTTTGGAGGTTATAATGAGTTCTTGGGAACACTTCCATTGACAAAGAATTCCGAAGCTTCGCCGTTCTATGGGTTACGTGCAAGAACTGTCAGATGACCGACCCTGGAGGTGAAACATTGAAACACAACTTCACTTTTCTTATTTGTTTACAAATTATTGAAATAGTTTTTCACAATTATTTTGGCATATGAATAGTGTTTTTCGGCTATTCATTGATTCGCGCATGCCATCACATTGTGCTAATGTACGATGCACAAAAAATGCAGCGAGAGACGAAGGAATCCGGTTGATACATTATGATTTGAAAGTAAGTACCTACTATAGTCACTCACAGAAAGTTTTCATTTTGAAATTTAGAAAATTCTCTGATTTCACATCGGAATTCCTTCTGCAATAGGAGCTAATAGAGATATACTCGTGAAATTTCTAACAGAATGCAAGATTGGATTCATGCAATCAAACAGGAGGACTGGTCTGACATGCTGACGAAATATGAAATATTGCAGAAGTGGCAGAAGGAATTTTAATAAGAAATGACAAAATTTCATAATGACAACTATGTGAGATTACTATTTACCTGAAAAATCATATTCCTCCGTCTCTCGCTGCATTTTTTGTGTATTGTACAACAGCACAATGAATTAATGAGTAGCGCAAAAAAATTCGTATGCCAAAATATTGTGAAAAACTATTTCAATCCTTTGAAACCTCTGTAAACAAATGAAAAAGTGAGGTTGTGTTTCAATGTTTTACGGAAAAGTGAGGTTGTGTTTCAACATTTTACCTCCAGGGTCGGTCATCGTGCACGCGACCTATAGACGAACGAGTCTTGGTAGAGTTCTGTTCGACATAATTCAAGGTTGACGACGAAACGATGTGCTGACTGGGCCTGTGGAATTAGTCTGACTGGTATTGCTAGTGATCGAATTATAGCAAAGTCCTCCGCTACGCGTCGCGCATCAAACTTTACACATGGGAGGAAATGGATACCTTTCCTCACTTGATATATAAATAGCTATTATTCGTTATTTCGTTGATATTGTCAATTGCTGAAGGCGCCAATTTTTAAATATAATTGAAATGTTTTGATGGGGCAAAATTAAACACATAGGAGTAGTAGTGTGATTTAGATAAACTAACACAGTCATAATGTTGATATTCTGATGACGTAAAATATGTCAATTTTGGAACTGGATGGCGCCAAAAATGTCCATCGGGATACGTCCTGGTATCCCAGCAGCCCAGCACGGGCCTATGAGTATCGAGGAAAACACTTAGCACACAGCATCTCGCTTCGCTTGAATGGACTGCTATAGGCGACTAAATTTGTTGTGGAACTATATGAAAGCACATAGTTTTGAAATGGTTCAATTGCTTGTGTATATTATTTCGATTTTTTATAGTGATTTGAGCAAAGAATACTTTATTCCCCTTTAATATTATTGCCTATGTCTCAATCACTTGAAACCGGATTATTTTCATTTTTTGGGAATGTTTCAAATGGATATTTGTATCTGTATATTTTTTGGGAATCTCTCATGTAGGATTAAGGCGAATATTATTGTTCCATTGTGACTTTATTATGTTTTATTATACAGCGTGTCTCATTATTTCAAACGGCCCCCCCTCTATATCTCAGCTATCAGTCGTGCGATCTTTACCAAATTTGTATCGGTATGAATAATCAATAAAATATGACCAGTTCTTCAGAGACAAACATCATTTCAGACAGTGCCGAACATTTTTATTGAAATAAATAGGGGTCAGTTTTTTATTAAATCATATTAGGCATTTTTCCACAGAAAAACTGACCTCATAATATTATTCTTCATGGTTTCAAACCCACATATGTGGATTTTCATAAGATTCCTATGAAGGGTTTCAGAAAAACAGGCACATCTAAACAGCATCTTTGCGAACGTAATAATTATTTACTCGGAAATGGTGAGTTGAACAAAAATAAGTACAACCCGTTTTTCCTTCCAAATCATGATTTTCCACCTACCGGAGCCATTAAACGTTCCAAAATTCGTAGTTGATTTGAAGTCACTATTTATGCGAGACTGAAAATGAAAAAAATGAAGCCAATCCTGTTCATTCGGAATTAGGTTATTTTTTGCATATGGGAGTTCGAAATCATGAGGAACAATAATATGGGGTTAGATTTCCTGTAAAAAAATGCCTAATATGATTTTATGAAGAATCGACCCCTTTTTATTTCAATGAAAACGCACGGCACTGTCCAAAATAATGTGCATCTCTGTAAAACAAATTTGATTGAAATCGCATAACTAAATAAAGGGGAGCCGTTTAAAGTGAGACATGCTGTATATCATTTTTACTTTTTGGATAATTTCATAGAGGATATAGAATGTCTATCAGCAGTAGAAAACTCATTCAGAAGGCGGTTAGAGATGTGTGCCAGTTACAATGAAACATACAAGATGATTTACGTAGGCCACACATTAGAAGGTTTCCAACTTGCAATCGGATTGAATACTCGAAAATTGCTATGCTGTTATAATCGATCATTCCTAATCTACCTGCAATATTGTTAGTTCTCCAGTTATAAAGGGTGTGCCAAAAGTCAGCACCAACTTTCTTAGTATCTCCTCAATATTTCACAAAGATCTTCCATTCCCCTTCGGAAAAAATGTAATCATCCTGTATTGTATATTTTCTGAAACTTTTTAGTGGTTATTGTTTGTAGGGTTCTCATGCAAGCCAAGATGAAATAAATAGCACCATACAGAAACTTGATGAAATTGATGATGAAATGGGACAATTGGGATTTCAAGCTCGTATCATTCAGGGCAGAGAAACGGCACATTTATTGCAAATTTTCAAGGGAAAATTTACAATTTTCAAAGGAAAAGGGAGTGACTATGATGGTAAGTACCTACCTATATGTTGTTGAATCATCAAATCAAATGAGAATAAAATGAGAAATATTTAATGATCTAACAGTATTGAACTACTAGATCATCAATTGTTTCAACCTCCACCGCCCTGTAGAGAATTGTTGGAGAATACCAAATTCAGTGTTCTTTTTATTTCTTGGAGCGCACGTATAATGGAATACCTATAATGTTCGAAGAATATCGTGCGTACCTAAGGAGGATAGGGAGAGAAGGAAGGTAGGTGTTGACATTTTTTTCGAACTCCCTTGAGGATTTTAAGTTTTTGTGAATAATTTAAAGACATGCTATTATTCAAGGGGGTGATCCTCCAATTCATTTCAAGAAAAAAACTTCAGGGTGATAAGGTTTTGAAAAAAAAAACGACATAATTATGTTCATATCGTCAAAATATCCTTTATTCGGGAAGTGCTCACAAAAGTAAATGAATTATTATCCATGGCATACTTGACAAAAGTGAATGAATTATTATGAAGTATTTTCGTCAGTAATATTTAATTTATGTTCTTATTTGTAATCCAATCGCGAATGAATTAGTATCGTTAGATTCGTCAAAATATCCTTTTTCCGGAAAGTGCTTGTCAAAAAATGGTCGCCATTTGAAAAATAATAGTTAGACACGAAAATGTAATTTTGCCAACTTGTTTTATTCATATCTATCATACTTGTTACTGAAACTTCGGGATTGTAATTTTCTGATATCACCTGAGGTCCTTAGATAAGTTTACTTCAAATCATGGCCACCTAGATGTTATTTCGAAAGTGACTCCGAAAATGTTAAGTAGGCATAAAAGCTATCGAAAATGTCACAGTCTGATCTAGAATTGCCTCAGAAATCCAAAAATGTTACAATATACAGGGTGTTCCCTTTAAAAATTTTGAACCGGAGCCATTTCCGGTGAAACCGGAAGTAACCGGAAAGTGAGAAATATGTGAAAACTCTCCTCTTCACATACCATTCACCTATACCAAATCTCATTTCCATACACCTAATGGTCTAGAAGTTATGACTTGTCTAATAGATTCGTTGACACCTGGTATAATACGGTGAAGCTTTGGTATGCTTCGACAAAAATATACTATTCAAGTGACTAAAGAAACAATTCTGCCAAATTGGAAATATCAATCAACTGTTTCAAAATAGTTGGCCGTGTTAATACTGCAATAAGAAAATTGAAAATAACATTTTGAAACTGGTAAACGAATAAGAAAGTACAAGGGTGGTGTTGATTGAAGTGGGACACACTATAATTTTCCAGCAAACTTGAGTTCAGGTTGCAGAATATCCGTATTCTTTTTATCCTCAGAAACAGGAAAAAACTTGAAGAGTCCGAGCCAGTATCTTCTCCAGGTGTTTGGCTCCACCACTTACAGCAGCAAAGCAATTCAAGTAAGCATAAAAGCTTCTTCATTCAACTCGAACTACTGTTTCGTGCTGAAGAGAGGAAAGAAAGCTTTTATCTGGTCCGGGACGTATTCAACAGGAGATCAAAGAGAGATGGCAAAGGGATTCGCTGGTAAAGACATCGAGCTTGTATCGGAAGGTAATACTTACAGTTTTAAAAATCACATGATAATAGTTTTAATTGAACAACAGATTGAAATCATTACCATACTTGATAATCTGGAATGTACACTGTCGCCGAAATAAATAGTAACGATACTACTGAGTTATTTTGATATATTTTGGTTAAGCCTATGTATGTACTATATTCATCGTTTAGGCACAATGTCAGTCTACCCAAGGGTCCACCTCATTAGCATTTTATTATGACCTGATTCAAGTGTTCCATTTGACATTTGATGTTTCCATATGTTTCTATGTAAATGTGAGATACTCAAATATTTTCTCAACGTTACACAAAATGGATGATCTCGAAGTTAATTTGAACATAGAAAATAAATTCCTTGTGTTGAAAAACAGGGATTAAAATTGTTTCAGAAACTTGTAAAGGCGAACCACTTAACGAAAAATATTCGATGAAAAAATACAGATTCCGTAAGTTATAGCATAAACAGTGAATGCACGCGGTGTATGTTTGGTTGCCTATAAAACAATCGTGTATTAATAGACAAATTGATCATTAATAGGTCATTAATGAACGATTTCATAAACATTGAACTTACTCGTTAATATAAGGTCGACGGAAAAGGGTATTTTCTATCGAAAAATAATAATTTTTCGGAAAATTTGCTACCCTATTATACGAAAAAAAATTATTTTTGTCACGCAGCAGACTCTTGAAATCGATTTATCTCGAAAATGGTAAGTGATATCGAACTGAACAGGAGTATTATTTTTGAGTAGAAATTATGATATTTTCATATTTCCTGATCGAACTGCCGAAAATTGCATTGAAAAAAAAGTTGGAAGAAGAAATGCCCCCAGCCCCACCTATTTCCCACGTCCCTGATCAACATTTCAGAAAATTCCTAATATTTTCAAATCGGGCATGAAAAGTTATGTACAAAATTTCGTTATCTCAACACAGAGGGTTTCGGAACTATTTACGTAAATCCATCATTTCGGGATCCCCTTTTCCTTTTTTTTTGTTTCTAGAATCTGTGGTTGAAATCTTTCTATGTAATTTCGGAACACCCTGTGTATCTATAACGTTCATTAGTTTGGTAGGTAGGCAGGTATTATAGTTCTCTTAGGTGAAGTTGGAGACCTTTTCAATTACAAATTCGAAAACAAAAACTCATCATTTCGTTAACATCGCGAGAAGCTAGTTTTGTAAAGAACTTTCACCACACTAGCGAAGCGCCAACATGGATGAATCGAGGTAGGATAATTTTGTAGCTCTCTCATCATCGCATTCATCGACACTCTCATAGCTCTTGCCACACCGGGCACCGCTTCCACATTAACATGGCCTTTAGGGCTGATACTGGTTTTCGGAGGAATAAAACTCACTTGATTGATCAGTTTCAAATTCAAACATGTTCTTATTAATAACCTATAGTAGGAGAGCCGCCTGCAAATTTCGACCGTCATCTGATAACGAAACGATATATGTATTGTATTTTGTCGTACGGCACCTGTGCCAATGACTATCCTGAGCAAAATTATTGAAAAATGGCACTTCCCTCTGCGGTAATTTGCACTAAATCTCGCGACTTGACAACGAGATGAGAATTATGCCACCCGATACCAATTAAATGGTAGTTTTCGATAACCTAACTGTGCTCCATTATTCCGTCATACTTCCGTCATGTGATAACGAGTTGGAACAAAAAGCAAATGAGAGAGGATAATGTGCCCTTTGCTTAAATCCAAACGTTCCACTAATCAAAGTGAGCTAAGTTAGTGGCAAAGCGTCTGTTTTGTGAATATCCCTTTTTCGCTGTAAGCGGGAATAGATTCACTTGACTTTGAGTGGACTGCTTTTGATGTATGCGTTGTGCGTGAGAGTTTGATGTTCTTCCAACGACGTAACCACACGTATATAACTGCAGCCGGCCGGCGGTAAAGCAGAAGCACAGGATAGTTCGGTAACACGCACCTAATTTGTCCTGTTACACGTCACTAAAGTACGCGCCAAATCACTTAACTAAGATTGGTGGGAAATCACTGAATTGTTAGATCATAAGATCAATGATGAGATGAAAGTTGATCTGAATATATCAAGATCAGTGGGAAAACATGAGAGTCAAATTGATTGATTCGACAACAACAAAACGTGGTTGCGGTAGCTGTCGAAGTCAAAAATCGTCTGTCCTTTTCACTTGTTATAACCAAAAAGTTCAGGGGGCGCTCGCGGCGGCCTTAACATTAAACTCTCGGACTCGCGAAAGCAGACATACAGGAAGGATGAGTTTAGTGAATAGTATTAAAATAACATTAAGAATGAATATTATCAACTAACAATTACAACACAATACAACTATGAATTTATGATGGTGAAAACAGAACAGCGTCAGTATTTTCGAGAATATGTCGTCCCTGTCAATACAAATTGTCACTGACAAGCTGGTGAATTCCTCTTTTGAGCTCTTTTATGGAAAAATTCTTTAAACGCAGTGACATTATGGGGCAAATCATCTGATTTGTCCTTACTACACTTATATTGAAATAATATTCATATTTTTATTTTATAGAATCGAGGAGAGAAAATCCCAACAAATTTGGAATAATGAATGTACCACCTCCTCGATTAACCTAGACAGAATCTCAAATGTTCTCGAATTTTTTTTTTATAGGTAAAGAGAAAGAAGATTTTTTCCATCTTCTAGGAGGGAAATCGCCATACTCCACACAAATGATGAAAACTCTCTCTGATCCCAGACCACCCAGATTATTTCACTGCAGATCTTTCAATGGAAGTTTCACAGGTAACTAGAGTAGTGATGTTGGTGTTGCCGGAAACTTGAAGATGATTTCTAAAGAGATGGAATAATAATTAATTCTCATTTAATGAACGCTAACAATTCCACTCTCAGCAGTTGGCGTTACTATAGATTGTCTAGGTCTATGTCAAAGAAAATTTTCAGAAAACAACGTGGTTTATGTAAACGAATAGGAACACTTTAGCTTGCGCTTTTTTACTTTCAATGTGTGACAATCAAAAATTTCAACATCAACACAGAAAAAAACATGAAGAATCAATACCATATCAATCAGGCGCGGATCTAGGAAGGTTCCAATACCTACCTCCCTATTCTCCCAAAGCGAGCACGCGACGTAGTCTATGACGCGACTCCAAACATTAAAGGGATTCCCTTTCGTATATGCTCCGAGGGATAAAAAAAGGATATATTTCACATGAGAGAAAAGTCAGTTTCAAGAAAAAATGCGCTACAAGCGAGAGGTCGAATGCATATAGATCAAAACTTTTCTTAAAAGTTTTTTTTCGACGGGTATGGACAGCTTCATATTTTATTGTACATCTTGTATCTCACTTCAAACGGCCCTCCGTCTATATCTCAGCAAATGATGAAAATAAGTAGATGGTGTACTCTTACTGATGCGCTTTTGTTTCAGAAATTCCTTTCGACCTCTCGAGAACAATGGTTTCGGAGATTTTCTAATAGATGGCGACATTGCAGAATTATGACATCTGTCAATTCTGAAATCGCCGAACATTGTTCGAATTTCGAGTGATAAACCAACTTTTACATATGTTCCGCGAACCTGAAATGCAATTTGCCATTTTATTTTCACTCGTCACACTCGTCACAGCAGCAATAGCAGCATCACCATCTAGCGAAAAAACCTAGATTTAACGTCTCGCTCGATAATATTGTAGCATTTGAATTTGCTACAATATAATATTAGCTAATTATTTTGATGAAACTTATCAAATTACAGTAGAGTAGCACTGTGGTGTGCTAAGATTTGTTTTTATTTTTCTTTGGTGTAAGAAACATAGTCTTCAAATTCTTACCTTATGAATTTGAGAAGAAACCATACTCACAGTGAACATTCAGTCTGACATATAGTAAATAATCCTTGAGTAGTAGAACATTTAATGAAACAACCATATCATATCACACACAGTTTTGAATGAGATCTTTTAACAAACAAATTCCAATAGCAGAGTACTCATTTCTTCTGATATTCTATGTGCTAATAGGAAGTGATGATGTAAGCTGCAGGAGTCTTTGATTTCTGGCGTTCTGATCCTAAGGCCCTAGAATCGAAGAAAATATTTAATATTGTAATCCATTCAAAAGTAGACAGACAACTTACCGTTGATGTTCTCCAGGGCGATAAATCCTATTTCGCTGGAATATCTCAGGATTTATGATGTTGTTCATTCTGAATTGGTTTCAATTTGGATAAATTTCTTTGTTTATTTTTGGGATAATATTTCAGGTTATATTTTCATGTGTCATCAGGATGTCACTGTCACTGTTGTCATACTGCAGTCATTGTGGACTGTCATTTGTCTTCTGTGAAGGATTTGGAGATTATTCCTATGAAGACAGAAGAAGAAGAACAATTCTTCTTAATAATTAGGGCGTAAGCATTTCTTCGACCAATAGGATTCTTGGATTTCATATTTGGCGCTGATTTGGGATTTTAACAGGAAACTAGGGTTTTTGACTAGTTAAATCTAGGGTAGGAGAATTTCCGGCACGTACCTACCTCACTTTTTCTCGGTTAGCCATGGTGGCGTGCACTTGACCTGTGAAAAGTAATTTTGATTTTCTCGGTGAAAACCGTAGAAACCCTTATGGGTATTTGATTTTGGGAAGCCGTTGCTTACCGGTTAGTGGATGGAATCTCCGTCAGGAAGCCAATTGTGGGATTTGTTCCTGGAGACTGCCATGAAGTTCTAGAAGCCATGCAGCCCGGCCTGTTTCAGTCCTTAAAAAGCAAGATCTAAAAAAAGTCTTCAATCCTACCTCCCTTCTCAGAAGGTAAGTCACAGCCATAGCAGATTCAGCAGTGAAATCTTCGAAAATATATCCTGTTCTTCAGTTTTTTTCTGTTGTCTCCACGTGCTCTGTGTGCCCTCTCAGGAGGCTATATTCAGATTATTTCTTAGGGTGCTAGGGTGCAGCTTAGCTGTGCTTCGGACTCCTGGTAGCGACCGGCCCTCAGGATACTCTTCTCTACACTTGTCAAGATCCCCCAGTGGATCTGAGTAATCCTGCAAGGTCTTCGGATCTTGGCCAGAGTCGACCATGGAGACACCAGATGGAGCCCAGTAGCAGCTGGTAGAGACTGACCCCTGGTTACACTGCATCCTGGAACTCTGCTGACCGTGGAGGTTCAGCATTCCTCGTTGTGTTGTCTTCACCTGCAGTGACCTATGCTGCACATCTACAATCATACCACTTGGGACCTTGGATAGGGGTGATCTGGACCATTGCAGAGGACCCTTGGACCACTATCAGGTTTTTTTGTTCCACCTTCAGTGTTTCACATTTTGCTATATAATTATCTACAATTTTTTTTTCACATCTGAGACTGGTTGAGTAATCACCTTTTTTTACAGTATTAATTCACAAACTGGTGAAGCTCTTGTGAAGCTCTCCCATAGTATACTATGTGACTGCGGTTGCTTAACAGTTCATTGCGCTATCATTCCTTGACTAGTTATACAGTCCGTTTTATAGTTGATATAGGATTGTTACTATACTTATTTTCACTTATTCTAAAAATATGGTAATTGTCCTGGTATAGGTAGGAAAATTATGATAGAATCACCATGCAATTTACTTAACCTGCACTATTGAAATAATACAGTACTTTAGTGATTATTTTTCATCATGAAACTGCAGGCCTCTACATAGGTCCATATATAACCTTGTCTCTGGTGGTGTGAAATATAATAGGTCTTGAATTTTATGTTGGTTTTCATTCTTCCATATGTCCAGCCCAGCCTTCTAAGAAAATGTACCTTGAACAACTTTCAGATTTTTGAAAAGCAGATTATTTGGAAAGAAATTTGGTTTTCTCAATTATCCAAATTGTAGGATTTTTTTATAAATTGAGTGGCGTCCAAGAACTTGAATTTTCTTCACCATCTAGCCTATAAATTCGAACTCACTTATCTGTTCTCCGATGTACAGCTGCCGATAGCAAATGTGTTTGACTTTTTAATAAATTCATCCTTTTATATTAAAAGTTGGCCACAATATGACGTAGAGAAATCATAGTAAGCGGTCGAGTGATTTTTCTTTCTATACGTAAAAATGGCCGAGTATGCGCATCATCTACTTATTTCCATCATTATCTCAGCCAAATTTCAGCTATTCGTCGTGCGATTCTTATCAAATTTGGACCGCTGTGAATAACTATCAATATGATCAGTCTTTCAGAAACAAACATTATTTTTGTCGGTGCCGTGCGTTTTTGTTGAAATCAATTATTTATGAAATCTCATTAAGAATTTTTTAACAGGAAAACTGACCTCATAATAATGTTCTCCATTGTTTTCATGAAGTCTTTAAAAAAACAGCATATTTGCGAACGTTAATGATTATTTACTTGGAAACGGTGAGACCAACAAAAAAAGTATATTTTCTCTTTCAAACCATAATTTTGTATCCATTGGAGCTATTGAACGTGCGAACATTTGCATTCAATAGTATTCATTGTTTTTTGAGGTAGAAAATGAAGAAAATGAAGCCAATCCTGTTAATTCGGAATGAGGTGATTTTTTGTATGGTTCTAAAGCATGAGGAACAATAATATGAATCTAGTATTTCTGCAAAAAATTACAAATAGGATTCCATAAAAAATCGGCTTCTTCTTATTTCAATAAAAAAGCATGGCACTGTCCAAAATGGTGTTCGTCTCTAAAAAACTGATTATATGGATGGTTTTTCATACTGTTCCAATATTTGGTACGAATCGCACGACTCATAATAGCTGAGATACATTGGGAGGGCGAGAGCGTTCAAAGTTAGACACGTTGTAGGTTAAATAATTAGAAGACTTCTGAAAATTTCAATGTATAGTTTGAAGTATGGATACTTGCAGGTAGCGCGAGAATATAAATAATAATTTCGTTATAATCACAGTCACTGTTGAGAGCACCATAACAGGGATAGGTAAAAATGTATTTCAATTGTAAAGAAAATCAAAAATCGAAAATAACATAAACTGAAACTGACAATTCGTTTCATTGGACATATTGATTTTTGGACAGAGTAAAGAACTCAGTCATTTCCACAAATTATTCGAATAATTCAACAAAATAAACGAATGCCGACTGCAAGTGTCTCTTACTTAAAATCCGAATTGTATTTTAATTATAGCCATACATCGCTTAAGCACCTACAGACCGGTTTCGGGCTATGGGCATCATCAGTGTAAGAAATTCTTAACCAGACCAAAATGAAAACACTTGAAACGAGCGACATCTAGAACAGACGGAAAGATACTCTCCAGAAAAGCTCAGTTCAGCTGGCGCTATTTCAACTGAGAAATAGTTATTCCAATTTGAGAATTTTCGCTTTCTAGTAATTGAAATAACACCAGTTAGGCTGTCACTTTCGCCATTTCTCACCGGAATGGAATTTTTTTTCTGGGGTATTTCTTCTCATCTGTTAAAGATGTCGCTTGTTCCAAGTCACGCTTAGATGATACATCCAAGAGGATGTTCTCCATGGTGTAGGTTAGGTACCATGTGAGTGGGGTGAATGCCACCCCTCCACTGCATAGTGTACGTCAAGGAATTAGTCGTTTTTCTCCCTTGAACTACCTTCTTGTGCAATTATTCGAACAATTTGTGAGAATGATTTAGAGTTTTCACTTTTGATAACCTTGGCTGTCTCGTAGTTGCCTTTCTTCAACTTTTTTTAGTATTGATTCCAGTTGGGAGAGTAGAGTAATTATCCGATTACCTCATCTGGTATCTGCGCCTGATTTAAATTCTCAGACATCTCTGAGATATGACAACATCGAGTATTTTTTCAAAATCAGTTATTAATGTTCCGCAAGTCTGATCTACTCTTTGGAAAATCTTGAAAGTTGTACTTCTCGTTTTTATAACAGGAAAAATCACTCATAGTATTTTTGTTTCATATAGTACTGAATCCAATTTAGCTTTTTTTTTTATTTGAAGCTCAGGAGATGATTTTCTTTGGACAAAAAGATCTCATACCGGAACATGTGATGCTTCTGGATACTAACGACTCTATTTATATGTGGATTGGAAATCTGGCTAGCAATGAGGAAAGGAAATCAAGTGCACGAACAGCGATGGATTACTTACAAACGGGTACCTATAAATAAATAAATAACGAATTTACTTTCAAAGATAAGAAATTATTGCTGTTATTATTGTATATTTAAAAAAATGTGGTATTCTTTGATGAGACAATTCACTCAGCTTTGCATCATGGCCGTGCGATGCGGTCTAAGCGCTCGACTCGCTAAATGGAGGTGTTGATAGTTCGAACCCTGTCATCGGCCGAGCTTTAATTTTTTTATGTTCTGGTTTCCACGAAAACAGATATCCTGTTATGTTCAGAGAACATCGTGAGAACCAAGAAAAATAAGGTAGGAATTGATGTTCTTCTTCAATTTCTGGAGGTTATATGCCTCGGGGAACACCTCCCTTGGCAATGTGTTCCAGAGCCTCGCTGTTCGTTGGATGAACGAGTCGTTGGAAAGAGATGTTCTGCAGGTCTCCAAAGTGACCACGAAGGTGTGCAAAGCCTCAACTCGACGGGTTAATCTCACGGGGTCTGCCAAGGGAGGTACAATTGTTGATATTTGTAAATATCTATGGAATAGAGCTAGATCGCCAACTTTTCTACGGTATACCAGAGAAGTGAGTGAGTTTGAGAGCGGACATCACCCACCAGACGAATTGCCCTTTTTTGGACAGAATCCAACAGTTACATTTAATGAAAATGTCTGCTTAATTCTATCGGCCTATCGGTATAGTATTAACCAGTGCTGAAACCTTTGAAAATTGTAAAGAGAGAACAAAAGGTATAGTTGGATGAAACCCATTAGAAAATGAAGAGAATATAACAAAAATGAAAGGGGAGAGTAGTTTATCTAACAAGTGCGGAAAGTGATACTTCTCCGCACGCGATTGCAGATGGCCGAAAGACGCGTTAGCACTAGTGCGGATAAGTTGATTGTTCCGAACGATAGTAGAAAAAATAATTTACTGGCGATCAAAGGTCGGGAAGTGGAAGGCGGTGCGCTTTCAACTAGAGTCTAGCCATAGCACCATAGCGAGATAATATTGCGCCTCGCTCGCTACTCGCTGGGCGCGAGAAACTGAAAATTTCCGGCCGATCCTGAGGAGAAACATAATTGAAATAGCGAATCACTATCGGCCTAACCAATTAATGCCTCCATGGTATTTTTTCGATTAATTACTTCGAAAAAAAAAATTAAAAAAAGATTAGCTGGAGTAGGGATCGAATCGGTCTTTTCGTTCGAAAGTAGGAATACTACTCTAATGACCACCATATTTCAGGCAAAACAAACTACAAAACAATTTTATACGCTCTTGACTTGCCACCGTGGCAATATTTCCAGTATAGTGGTGAAATGGCTTGAAAGGAGGTTTTATTCAACCGTGCAAAGGAATTGAAATTTCAAATGAGCTATCACTCACCACCCAAAGCTATTCAAATTTTTTGACAGGGTTGCTCCCCTCCAGTAAGGGATGAAATTAGGAGTGAACTATTACTACGAAAATGTACACTGTAGAAATCAAAAATCGACGGGTCTCGGCGATTTTACTAACTAGAGTCCCGTAACGAGTTAGATAGGGGGAGTAACACTTATGATGCGCACTGTATAAGCTGTTAAGGAAAGAGAGTGTAAGTGTATGCCTCAGAATTTTTTTTATGGTGCTCTTATGGTGCTATTCCGTAATTTCATTAAACAGCGTTATAATTTTTTATTTATTATAACTTTACATACCTAGTGATGTAAGTATTACATTTAAAGCGAGTCATATATTTTGCTACATTTTTCCTCCCAACAAGGCATAAATTAAGAGGACCTCACTTATATTCATAATACCGATTTCTTCATCAAATTACCATTTCGATCATATACCATAAATGGGTATCTTGAAATGACATAGGACAAATAAGAGTGGGATACATTAAGGTGTCCCCATGAATGAAAAATCGATCTATTTCAAAGTTTTTTCAAATAAACATTCTCCCGGATTCCTGGAAGTTATTCAGTCGGTTTCGTTTTCGTTGGCCCACTCTGTCTGCTCTGATAAAGGGAGATGTAAACTGACAATGTCATGGATTTACATCACTTAAATGAATAAATAAATTACTAACATCGTTGTTGCCGAAGAAATATTGTTTTTATATTCGTGCCTAATATGACTCAAAATGATTGTCAGATTTGAAACACGAATGTGGTAGGGTTAGATTCCGCAAATTTGATAGGCTGCAATTGAAACAAACCTAGTTCAACAGCTACTATAGGATGTAATAGTTATTCAAAGAATCCCTGTATATGATCAGAATAGCACCATTTCACTAATTTTAAAATTTTTAAAATTCATTGACTTGAATTACATGAAGCATATCATGAAGTGAGATAAAGCAAAAGCATAACGATGGGAGTTTGGAAAAATATAATATCTTATTGACCACAAGGAGAACCACATGCAGAAATATTGGCAAGAAAATGTTACACACGAAATTTTTCAGATCCATCTGGCAGAGACATGAATATAGCTGTGATTCATATAAAACAAGAAAAGGAACCTCCGTCCTTCAAGGGATTCTTTCCCACATGGGACAATACATTTTGGAAAGTAAGAATGGAAATTATATTCTCTTATTTGTATACAGTAAAATCTCGCTTTTCCTCCTTTTTCAACTTGATTATCATTTCAATTTATGTTTTACTCTGTATTGATTATCGATTTTTGGCAGATAATATGTACTTGAATAGTACACGAATTCGATCGTTAATGACCCCTATTCGCCCTACTAACGATTAGTTTTACTGTTAATGAACGATTATGGTAAAGGCAAGAAAACATACACCGCTTCGTTTAATTCAAAGATCAAATAGTATGTATTCTACTAGTAAGCCAATCATTTGAGCAGATATGGAGAAAAAATGGCAAAACATCTTGACTTCCACAGAAACTATAAAAATGTGCCCCCTCGAAGAAGAAGAAGAAAAATGTAAATTATAAACAGTTGTGGTTATTTTGCAGAGAAAAAATGTAAAAGTCGCTAAATGGTCAAAACATAGGAAATAATATAATCCTTTATAGTTCCCCAATTTTGCGGCATCATATATGGTAAATAAACTATTTATTCATACTTTTGTTAATAACTTGTCCGAAAAAAATCTAAAAGTGTGGCAAACTTAAAGAACTTTTTTTATCGCTTGAAGCGCACGAAAGGAAATCCCTATAATGTTCGAAGAACATCGTGCGTTCCTAGGGAGGATAGGGACAGGAGGTAGGTATTGGAATTTCTTTTGAACTTCTGGAGATTATATGTCGTTGGGAATACTTCCTCAGGCAATGAATTCCAGAGCCTAGCCGTTCTATGGTTTTGATAAAGTGCTGTTCGACATCTTTCGAGGTTATCAACGAAAGGATGTGCTGACTGGGCTTGTCTAGTTCGTCTGACTGGTATTGCTAGTGAAGGGATGATAACAGAGATTTCCGAAGATCCTTTCCCGTGGAAGTATTGATAGAAAAGTGAAAGGTCGCAGACCATTCTACGGAGTTCCAATGATGTCAAAGAGTGAGTGAGTGTGGCTCTTCTCTGGATGGAATCTGAGAGCATCAGCGTATGTTTTGGTGATTAACCCCATATGTGGGAACAGTATTCTAGAACAGGCCGTATCTGCGCTTTGTAGATCATGAGAAGCTGTTGAGGTGTAAAGTAGCTTTTCGCACGGAACAAGAATCCGAGTTTTTGTGAAGCAGCTTTTGCGATGGATCTGACATGATTATCCCATGAAAGAGTGTTGATGAACTTGCTGATGGAAATACCGAGCATAGATATGGTGGGCTTGGTGGGGATGGTGGTGCCAGACATTACGATATCGTTTCTATCTCAACGAATTTCTCTGAAAATTTGCTACCTCCGCCGATGACGGCAACATATTTTTCATTTCACTTTACAATGAAAAATTGTGTTCGCAGCTTGAATTGATTATGGAAATAATGAAAGTTTTTCGAGTTGGTCGCAAACGTATAGGAAGTAGTTGACTGAAAAACATATGGAATTTACCGCCACCAAAGTACTCGGGAACAAAAAACTCTTAGAAACTAATTTGAAGCGTGGATCTGAATTTGACCCCTTCTGCTACATCGCAACAGGACCGGAACATTTAAGCAATTAGTCAGGATCATTGTATGTTCTTAAAATGACACAATTTTTTCATTGTGAAGCGAAATATAAAATATATTGTCGCCATCATCGGCGGAGGTGGCAAATGTTCAGAGTAATTCGTGACAGAGATAGAAACATTTCTTCAAGTTTTCCACTCTTTCAGATCACAAAAGATGAATGAATAATGTATTTACTATGATGCTAAACTTGAAAATGGTCGCGAGATTAGGGACCGATAGAGATTATATTTCCATTTATAAATCACATTGTTAACAATATGTCGCCGGTGTTGTACGAGGGGGCAAATTTGTAAAGTTCCATTCAACACTAAAATACAACTGCTGTTCAAGACTGAAATGTTTTGCCAATTTCCCCCATTTTTGGATTCTAAACACTCTCTCTCTCCCTCTCCCTCTCCCTCTCCCTCTCCCTCTCCCTCTCCCTCTCCCTCTCCCTCTCCCTCTCCCTCTCCCTCTCCCTCTCCCTCTCCCTCTCCCTCTCCCTCTCCCTCTCCCTCTCCCTCTCCCTCTCCCTCTCCCTCTCCCTCTCCCTCTCCCTCTCCCTCTCCCTCTCCCTCTCCCTCTCCCTCTCCCTCTCCCTCTCCCTCTCCCTCTCCCTCTCCCTCTCCCTCTCCCTCTCCCTCTCCCTCTCCCTCTCCCTCTCCCTCTCCCTCTCCCTCTCCCTCTCCCTCTCCCTCTCCCTCTCCCTCTCCCTCTCCCTCTCCCTCTCCCTCTCCCTCTCCCTCTCCCTCTCCCTCTCCCTCTCCCTCTCCCTCTCCCTCTCCCTCTCCCTCTCCCTCTCCCTCTCCCTCTCCCTCTCCCTCTCCCTCTCCCTCTCCCTCTCCCTCTCCCTCTCCCTCTCCCTCTCCCTCTCCCTCTCCCTCTCCCTCTCCCTCTCCCTCTCCCTCTCCCTCTCCCTCTCCCTCTCCCTCTCCCTCTCCCTCTCCCTCTCCCTCTCCCTCTCCCTCTCCCTCTCCCTCTCCCTCTCCCTCTCCCTCTCCCTCTCCCTCTCCCTCTCCCTCTCCCTCTCCCTCTCCCTCTCCCTCTCCCTCTCCCTCTCCCTCTCCCTCTCCCTCTCCCTCTCCCTCTCCCTCTCCCTCTCCCTCTCCCTCTCCCTCTCCCTCTCCCTCTCCCTCTCCCTCTCCCTCTCCCTCTCCCTCTCCCTCTCCCTCTCCCTCTCCCTCTCCCTCTCCCTCTCCCTCTCCCTCTCCCTCTCCCTCTCCCTCTCCCTCTCCCTCTCCCTCTCCCTCTCCCTCTCCCTCTCCCTCTCCCTCTCCCTCTCCCTCTCCCTCTCCCTCTCCCTCTCCCTCTCCCTCTCCCTCTCCCTCTCCCTCTCCCTCTCCCTCTCCCTCTCCCTCTCCCTCTCCCTCTCCCTCTCCCTCTCCCTCTCCCTCTCCCTCTCCCTCTCCCTCTCCCTCTCCCTCTCCCTCTCCCTCTCCCTCTCCCTCTCCCTCTCCCTCTCCCTCTCCCTCTCCCTCTCCCTCTCCCTCTCCCTCTCCCTCTCCCTCTCCCTCTCCCTCTCCCTCTCCCTCTCCCTCTCCCTCTCCCTCTCCCTCTCCCTCTCCCTCTCCCTCTCCCTCTCCCTCTCCCTCTCCCTCTCCCTCTCCCTCTCCCTCTCCCTCTCCCTCTCCCTCTCCCTCTCCCTCTCCCTCTCCCTCTCCCTCTCCCTCGCCCTCTCTCTCCCTGCACAAACGCAAATGTATGCAACACACATCACATCACCATTTGATGGATCATAGAAGACGCTATGTTCGATTTGACTTGTAAATCTGCTGGTGATAAAGTATATTATTTAATAATAATTAATCTTTCCAAATACAACTCGTGTTCTTCAAATTTTGTCGATATTTGAAAAATTCATTGTATTACCTTCGATATTTGTTCTGAAGTATCATTATTGATTTTCAGGATTACAAAACATTTTCGAGAGTGAGACATGACCTAGAAATGAAAAATGTTAATACAAATGGAATGGACACAAACGGGGTATCAAATCATGATATATCCTGCCATAGCAATTTTGATCAATTTGATAAATATCCTGTAACTATATTAAGAGAACCAAATGACAAGTTACCAGCTAGAATTGATTCATTAAATAAAGAAGTGAGTATTCAACATAAAACAAAGTAATTTATTTCAAAAATAGACCAGAAAGGAATATGAAGATTATTCTTCTCCACTTAGTTGATTTAGATTTGTAGAAGTAGAAAAATTGACAAAATATTTATTTTTCAGTTGCATCTCACACATGATGATTTTGTATCACTATTCAAAATGCCGTATATCGAATTTGAGAAATTAACTCGATGGAAACAGCAGGAAATGAAGAAAAAAGTTGGATTATTTTAATTGACTAGGTATACCTATCTAATTAGAATTTTTTATAAATATTTGAATGTTGAAAGAAAATTAAGTATAAGTATATTAATTTCAGGGCCTCTTACCTATATGATGATAAAAATTGTTAAATATATTTTTCGAGAAAATGTGAAAAATTTATTATATTAATTAAATGCTAAACAAGTAAATTGTGGATATGTTTATTTAATCCTCATTACCAAGTTTTTTCTTCAAAAGGGTATGCATGGGTATGCAACCGGTTATATCTACTTTTTACCGAACATGACGTGATACTTGTTCTGGCATCAGTTTCGTGAGCTATATCGTCCGTTGGATTGATTTGTGAACAAAACGAGATATCATAGCAAGGAAGAAATGCTCGAAGTCATCTAAAATTTTAATGGTGTTGTTACACAATCAGAAGGGACATGTTTCGGTCCTAAAAAAGACCATCTTCAGCCTAATTAAAAGTTTTTGAGTTGATAAAATGTGATACAACTAGCTGTAAAACTGTTATCAATGCCCCTAGTAGAAAAATCGAGTTTATAAGTGAATAAACAGGTTCTCAATAAATGCCCTGAGAGCGCATACGATTCATATTATGCAAATTTGTTAGATTCGGTTTCAACTCACGGGGATTCATTTGATTAAATCACATTGTGATTGCGTTCATGGTAGTTCGATATTTTGTTTCTGATTGGTTCAAGAATTTTTTCTCCATTCTGTATGAATTTCTCAATATCATCCTGAATAATAATATATTTTTCCAACTTTTTCCTTTGCCTCAGTTTTTTTTTACTCACCCTATTTCTATTTCCAGGATTTTTTAATCGCCCTGTATAAAATGTTTTTTTCATCTTGTTATTGTTTCTCAGTTTGCGGTTGATTGATGCTCGGCTCGTGGTTAGACCGCTCGTAGACTTCGAGGCCAACGACCATTTTCGGTATTTTTGACCTGAAATTTTCTTATGGAGATTTACATGGAAAAAGTGGTCAAAATGAGCCCGTTCTCTCCTAGCTTATTTACTAGGATCGTTTGTATAGCGATCCCCATCCATCTGGAATTCAAATAAGTATTGAGCTATTTATAAAATTGAAAGCAAGAAGGCAATCCACCTATGAGTCAGAGTAGTAGATGCCTGGACGTATACATGAGTAGATGGGTGGCTTGAAATTTGCAAAAACAAAATTAACTGGGGAACATCGAATCGATTATAAAATCATTATTGATCAAGAACAATATTATGTAGGTACTTTTTCTACGGCTATAACACAAAATTGCTCTTATTTTACTGTGTTCGTTACATCAATGAGGTACCTTGTATGTCATTAATTTTATTTCCGTGTCTGATATCACAATGATTCCATTGTGTTATTATTTCAAGAATATCTCATCGCCCACGAAATGTGAAATTTCAAGCAATGACAGCTCTGTCTAATAGAATAGAATAGAATAGAATATTTATTTCACCAATTTACAAATCCTATGTTTTTGGCAAGTCAGGTACAAAGGACATATCAAATGTAGTAGATAAGAAAAAACACATTGAAAGTATGCAGAATAAAGTCATACACGTACATCTCTGGCAAATAAAACAGACTTTTACAGTGACATGTACCACATATAAAACAATAATTCGTGAGGACTTATTTTTCTTCCTCAATTCACAAAAGGAGAGAAAAACAAAATTGGAATTGTAACTTGCAAAGCAAATATGAGCTGTATGAACGATGTTTTTTTTTTTTAGTTGTTTTCATAGAGAGAATGATGAATCTGGTGAAGATAAGTATTCCTCAACAGAGTAATAACATAATCTCAGAAAGTGATCCTTGATGACTTTTTTGAAATATTTGAGGTCAAGGTTGCGCACATATTTAGGTAATTTGTTAAACAAATTCAAATTCAAAGAATTACGTTCGGATACTTCTAGTCGATATCTCTGTGGTCTCAACTTGTCAGAATCCCTCGTTGCATAATCATGGAAATCGGAATGCACGTTAAATTTATCAAAGTTTTTGTGTATCTCTAAGAGAGATTGAAATATGTATAAAGATGGAAATGAAAATATCTTGAGTTTTATGAAAAGTTCTCGACATGGGGTATTATAAGGTGAGTTCGTGATAAGTCGTATGGCGCGCTTTTGCAGACGAAAAACTCGGATTGAGTGTTTTGAGTTCCCCCATAGTATAATTGCATAGTTAATATGTGATTGAAATAAGGCATGATAGGCAGACAGTAGAGAATTAAAATCTAGGTATTTTTTCAGTTGCCTAAGTAGGTACAGTTGGGATGATAACTTCTTGCTCAACATCTCAATGTGTCGTAACCAAGTTAATCCATCGTCAATAGTAACTCCTAATAGTTTGACACTGTTTCCAGTTTTGATGCTGCTGTTAGAAGTCACAATCATTTTCTGAGTTTTGTCTCTGTTGAGGTTCAAATTATTAGAGGAAAACCATGTTTCAGCACTTTTTTCGGCTGCAGTCGAGAGTTCGTTTAGAGTGTTGAGATTATTGTGAGACTGAATCAATGTTGTGTCATCAGCGAAACAGATGAGTAGAGGGACTACAGGGATTCTGGCCCCTAGGCCAATCAGAGAGCAGCATTCCCCACTCCTCTACTTTTGTCGCCGGCGCGAACTTCAAGTCTAGATAGTCTGCAAATGGCGCGAAATTCAAATTATTCATACGTCGTCACGTCGCCATCGTGAATAAATAAATTAAAAAAAGCTGTCACCGCTGGGGGGAATTGAACTAGGGACCTTTGCATTACGAGGCAGCGTATATACGCACTGTGGTATTCCGACCTCCGTAATATTTCAATTATTTTAATGCTATTCAAACGGGATATCCATAGCTGGCGCGCGCTTATCTTTGAAACGGATCTATCGAGGTAGAGCGAGGCGAGAGATGCGTTCCAGAGATAAGAAACTTCGCGTGGAAAATAATATCCATCGGTGGCGCGCGCTTATCTTTGCAACGGATCTGTAGAGGTAAAGCAAAGCGAGAGATGCGTTCTAGAGATAAGAAACTTCGAGTGGAAAATAATATCCATCGCTGGCGCGCGCTTATCTCTACACGGGTGCAACGACTGCAAATTAGCATAACAGATAAGGATGTAGGTTATCGAAACTACGAAGAACCCAACAATTTCACAATCAGCAGCATAACAACAGATAAGGATGGAGGCTATCGAAACTACAAAAAACCCAACAATTTCACAATCAGCAGCATAACAGATATGGTTGGAGGTTATCGAAACTATAAAAAAACCAACTAGTCGCATGAACAAAATACGTGATCAGAATAACGCAAGAAATTATCGCTATCAGCAGTCGTTTTAGATGGGTTTTTCCAGAACACCCGCATCGCTAATTAGCAAGTCACGTGGTATCTCCGCCAGCGTATAAAAGCGACGACGCAGCGCAACATCATTCACACTTGAGTCTGCAATCGTGAACGTTGTCTCTTGATCAGCTCCAGCCAAATCATCACTGTTTGTGTGTGTGTGTGCATTAATAGCAATAATAGTGAGTACCTCTTTATCATAGTTCTTTTTTTATTATCAATCCAATATTACCTGACTTTTTTATTCCATTTTGAGTTTCCTAGTTTTATATTATCGGCCCCTTTCATTTTATTTTGAAAATAATACAACCTAGTGCTCATTCCGCATCAACCTTTTTCATTCCAAGTTTTTTCGAGAGACAATTCAATGAAAGTGTCAATGATCAATCGCAGATTGATTTTATTTCTAGTTTTATCGGAAATAATCCATCCTAGTATCAAGCTCATCATGACTTTGTTGGACTGCTGATGTTTTTTGTCCTTTTTCTTCCCACCAGATGGATCTTACCCAAATCAACGCGGCTTCGTTGATTGTTGAGAAGAAACATAGCATCAAATTGTTAGATCTCCCCCTAGGACAACCCCAACCAATCAAGACAGCGAAAGTGGTCACCACAAAATTTGGTAAATCTGTTCTGATTGAGTTGGAGGACTCTGTTGTGTTCCTGCCCAGTCGTGTAACTGAGACCTATTCGCCCCTAATTGAATATTTCGGTAGCGGGAAATATTCTGTAGTATTCAGAGGGAAGGTGCAGACTGGGAAGGCCAATCCAGCAGCTTCGTTTGAAATTTCGGAGAATTAAAGTAAGCTACATTTGTTTTATTTGGGTAAAATATCATCAATACAGCAATGGAGAGCATCAATAAAACCTTGACCAAAGTCGACGAAACACTTTTACTGATCAAGAACAATTATTCTAAACCATTGGCACTTTTTGTATTGAAATCAATCCGCTCACACATACGGAAATGTGTTTTAGCAATGAAAAGAAATACTTTTTCGATTGGTTTGAAGCGTAAAATTCAGACTAAGATCGGGGAACTGAAACGGATGAGATTTTTCATCAAAACTATGAATAGAGGACATGTTGGCTCCGGCCTGAAGCCCTATATTCGTTGGATTGATGTTAATTCAATCTTCGCGTCAAGAGTGCAGACCGGTCTTATTCTGAATTTGAGACATAAGGAGATTATCGACTTTTTGGAGGATTCATTTAGATTGGTAAATAAGAGAATTTCAAAAATTTTGGGGCGCTTTTCAATGCTAAAAGTCAACTTTACATTTTCCGGTGACTTCATTAAGCAGTCAAATAATGGGGAATTGGTTGACCGCAAACATTTTTGTACTCCCAATGCCATCGTGGACGCAGGAACGGACCTAGCCGATTGGTTCAAAATCAATGTGCTAGATGTGATCCTTAATAAACTTAGCGAATTTGCCGAGAAGAATAGCGGGTGGGCCTTGAGCGAAATTATTTCTCTGGAGGTTGCCATAAATAAATATGAAATGGGAAATGGCTCATCGTTTATCAAATTACCAGAGCAGATTGAGAGAAAGCATGCCTGCATCAATGTGCAAAATGATGATGAGGCTTGCTTCTATTGGAGCATAGTCAGTTGTTTGCATCCCGCTAAATTGAAGTCATATAGAGTGAATAATTATCCTCACTATTCACGAGTTTTGAACATCAAAGGGTTAGACATACCAATGAAACTGCCCCAAATCACAAAATTTGAAAAAATGAATGCTATTTCGGTGAATGTTTATGCGTTAGAGTTGACAGAAGTCAACGAACGAACATTTTACACTGTCGTACCCACCAGACTGA